CACACAGCCCAGACACCTGTCCCAGCCCTGCTGCCCTCGTAGAAGCATCAGTTCTGAACCAGGAAATTAGGCCACCTGGGTCTGTCACTACTGCGTCCATGCCTGTGTAGGGTGGCAGGGCCTGCAGGCTGCCGTCTGAAGCCCGCCTCTTTCACTCTGGGAGGCCTGGGCCAGTGACAAGATGACATTCCACACATCACTTCTCTGTGGACACCTGGGCTCTGCTTGCCCACCACCTGTGCATGCTGTCTGTCTGTCCATCTAGTCTATCGTCCACCCACCCATCCCACTGTGTTTATCCCTTCTCCAGACAAGGTGGGAGGTCACTGGGCTCTTGTCCTCGTCCCCACCCAATGTCAGTGGCTCCTTGTCCTGCTATTTCTATAGCCCTGCAGCCCAGTCTGGGTCTGCACCCATGGGCCACATGCCCATTTTCTTGGGGTGGGACAGAAAGGAGGAGGAGGAAGGAGAGGAAGGGAATGGGGGAGGAGGAGGAGTTTCCTTACTGTCACTGTCACCATCACCTCACCGGGCTGGCTCCCCTACCCTGCTCCCCAGCACCCAGCACAGCCTTGCAGCCCCAATTCCTAGACCCCTGCACCCACAGGAACCTTGGAGGGGTAAGCACCTCGCAGGCTGCTGTACTGTTTGGGGTCCCAGACATCCCTCCCTGGCCATATGCATCCTCCACCATCCTCGGCTGTGTCACCCTGAATGCCTCAGCAGGTACAGAGGTCCCAAGACCCTGGTTCCAGGCCTATAGGCACTCGGCCATCCTGCAGAGTGGCCTGGCATCTACGTGTGATGGGATAGACACAGCCTATGGAGAGTCGCTGTGCCCTCAGGGTGGCACAGTCCCTTTCCTAGTCAAAAACTGGGGCATGGGGAGGCCTAGAGACTGATCACACAGGAGGCACCTCCAGAGCATCTCCAGTGGCCAGGCCCTCCCCAGTCCGGGGCTCCAGTCTAGCTGGACCTGCTCTCCTGGGAACCCTGCTGACCCAGGCAGCCCACAGCACCAGGCTACTTGACCCATAGACGCCTGGACGTGCTTAGTGTGAACAGCAAGGAGGCACCCAGAGAGGCAGGACCCTCCATCACCTGCAAAACCCTAGGGTGCTTAGCTGGGTGTTGAGGCACCCACCTGTACCCCCAGCTACTGGGGAGGCTGAGGCAGGAGGAGTACATGCCCCACACCATCTCAAACTACACCTGCCAAGCGTGGGGTGTGACTCCTGGGGTGATGGCCTGGCCACTGTACTGCAGAAAGCTTAGGTGGCTACGGTGGGGACCAGGCTGTCCCATGCTGCGCAAGGCTTCTCACCAACTCTCCGCTGTCCAGGAGACCTTTCCAGGTGCCTAAAACACACCCTGTAATTTTGCTCTTTTCTTGGCATGGCATTCTCAGAAATATTGCTTCCCCTCTGAGCTGAAACAGCCTTGGACTGTGTAGAGCCTCCAACCAGCAAGGCCAGGGGACGCCCACAGCCACCACCTCTGCCCTCCTGGCCACACCCCGGCTCAAGTGCGGTCCTGGCCAAGCACATCCAGGCCTGCAGCTGAGACCCCTGCACCTGTGGGCTGGACACCCCCACAACACAGACACCTTGCAGTTCAGGAAAGCTCAGCACTGCACAGCAGAACATAGACAGTGCCTCCACACAGGGTCAATCAGCAGCCAGGCTGTGCACACCCTGGACAGCACTCACCACCCTGCCACCCAGCCCAGGACCCCACCATGCCAAGGGTGATGAACTCAAAATGCACCAGAACCCTGAACACACTGCCTGAGAAAAAGCAGAGAGGCTGCATGACTGCTGGTGGATGGCCCAGCACTGACCTAAGTCCTGGGGTTTGGAGTGTCTATGTGAGGGACACTGTTCTCTACCTAAATGGCTACACACCAGTGATTGTGCCCAGTGTCCACCTTGCAGGACCGCAGTAGACCCAGACTGGACTGGCTGGACTGTGCCCCGGACCAGTACCAAAAAATAAAAAAAGATGTCAATAAAAATAAAACCCCAACTGTGGAAGTAGGGACAGGAGTAGGTACTCCCAGCCCGATAGCCTCTCTCACTGGCCCAATGCTGCCACCATGTGCCTCAGTTCCCCCTGTGCTGGGGAGGGGGCCAAGCTGCCCACAATAGGAGAGGGTGAGGATGAGACGATGACCCCATGACTGGCTGGACATCCTGGAGGGCAAAAGGCAAGGTGACCGGGGCTCTGCAGGCCAGGCCCAGCTGGGATCAGGGGACCAGGCCCTCCCTAGCCCAGGGCTCCACGTCTGGCTGGGCCTGCTCTCCTGGGAACAGTGGGCATCAGCGTCCTCCTTTCATTTCTGCTTTTGGAATGAGAGCAGCTGGTGCTGCAGGCTGGGCCCGACCTCAGCTGGGCTGCCAGCCACCAGCCTCGGGGACTGCACCCTATGGCCACCAGGCAGCCCGGGGGTCTCGGACGCACTGCCATGGGCCCCACACAGGAAGTTCCGCCACCCACCAGTCAGCCCCAGCGAGCAGACTGCTGTCCCGGGTGGGTGGGGGCGGCAGCTGGTCAGCGGCTTCCCCCAACCCCTTCCTGTTTTCTGGTCAGAGCTGCACCCTAAGGCTGCAATCCCACAGGGAGAGGGCGCTCAGAGACACCCTGACCTCAACACACCCCACTTCTCTTTTCCGGGAGCTGAGCAAATGCCTGGGAGGCCATGCTGCACAGCCAGGATACATGTGACAGGCGTCCACATCCAAGTACTTGTGCACCCCAAGAGGCAGTGTCCAAGTCTCGGCCCCCAGATGCAGGGCCCCGTGGATGTAAGGTGAGAAGGTAAGAGCAGTGGGCTGCATGCCAGTCACCCTGGCACTCTGAGGCCAGACGTAGGTGGGCAGGTAAAAGCAGGGGCCCCAAGAGTCCAGGGGAGCTCCAAGTGATGGAGGCTCTGCCCTGGACCCTGACCCTAGTGACAAGGGGAGGGCGCTGGAGACACAGAGGGGTGACACATCCCCATACCAGGGGAGGTGGCCCCCAGGGCCCTTCAGTGAGACTGATACCACCGAGTTACTGTCAACCTGGAGACTACAGTGCCTGACACGGCCCCTGGGTCCTAGGGTGATGATGGTGGCAGTTCCCACACAGGGCAGATATGGTCCCCGGGGGCCACCAGCACTGTCAGGCACATCTGAAGTTGTCACAGCTGCATGCCAGGGGTGGGGGACTTGGTGATAGCCCAAGAAGCCTGGCCCAATCTGCTCAGGTGGGTACTTTGGTGACTGGAGGAACTGACCTGGGCTAGGATGTGTGCAGGGCCCAGGACCCCCATGGAACTGAATACCCTGATGCCCACCATGGGACCCCTGCCAGAGCTCTGCACACGTTCCCACCTGGACACCAGAACTCGGCAGTGCCTGGAGCTCTAGCTGCAGCAGCCAGGTGGCAACCCCACAGGTCAAAAAACTCCCTGGCTCCCAGAAATATGCCGAGTGACCTGGGGCACACCCCACCCCAGCCCTGGGCTCAGCTGCTGCTAGGGATGAGCCTGCCTCACTGGGAGTCTGCAGGTTCTGAGGACATGGCCTAGGGGACCTGGGCTCCCCAGCTCTGCTTCCTGGCCACCCCACCCCATCACAGTGCGACCTCCTGGTGGGCAGCACCCTCCTCAGTGGGCTGAAATCTCCCCACCTTCTCCGCCAGGCACTGTGGCTCCCTCTCAGACCAGCACCTGCCCTTCTAGGCCCCAGCACCCCAACATCACCCAGCTAGGACCCCCAGAGCCAGGCAGTGTGCAGGCAGATGGGGCTGCCTGTGGCTTCCGGGTTCCCAGCGGCAGAGCCCCACTGGCAGCAGGGAGGGTGGGGAGAGACCCCGCTGTGCTTCCTGCCTGCCCGCAGGCCTGAGCCAGCAGCAGGGCTCCGACTTCCCATTTGCCCCCACAGCCTGCGCCCATCACCAGCCAGAGCCAACCACAACGACAGCACTAGGGGCTCCACATTGTCTATGGGGCAGGGACCCCACCACCGGTGCTCAAGGCTTTTAGACCCTGAGACCCTGACTGTGTTTCTTACAGAAGACTCAGAAAAGGTTGCAGAACCAGGTGACACCTCAGGGAACTCCACCAGGGAGGCACGAGCCACAGCAGGCACTGGCTACTTGTGGCTCTGGTCTTGGTTTGGGGGCAGCAAAGGCCAGGGAGGCACAACCCCTCACGGATGCTCTCATGGTCCTAGTGACAGCAGCCCACAGACCAACAGTCTCAGGGCTCAGGTCCCTTCCATGAGAGGGTGCAGTGTTGCCAACAACCTCCTCCAAGTGGCCTGGATGCCGAGACACTGCTGTCACCCCACACTGCCAGGGACTCCAAGGAGAACCCCATCTGCATGCATGCAGTGGAGGTCAGCAGGATCCTCAAGAATGGCTCCCCTCCTGCTGCTGAGCCTGGGTGGGCACCGGAAGAGTTACAGGTTTGGAAGAAAGATGGTTCAGAGCTCAGAGACCAGAAAGACGTGGCAGGGCCACAAACACCACTGCCACATGATAGTGACACAGTGATTTCCTCTTGCTGCTTGAGATGGAGCTGGGAAGGTATGTGTGTGATGCTTGCATCAGCACCCCAGCCAGCACAGAGCCTGGCATACCAATGCTGACACCAACATAGGCACACTGAAGCTCCAGCTCCTGCTCACGGCCCCTTCATTTACTTATTCACTTATTTAACTATTTTTGAGACAGGGTCTCACAATAATCTAAGCTGACTCTGAACCCACAGCGAAGCTCAGGCTGGTCTCATGCTCACAATGACCCTCTGTCTCAGCCTCCTGAGTCCAGGCATCACAGATGCTGGGATGAGTATTCCTCCTCTCAACTGGTGGCTTCCCCTTCCAGTGAGCCACACCTGTCATCAAGTCAAACCTCTAGCACCTAGACCCGCATCCAAGGCTGACAGAGGAGGAGAAGGATGGGGGTCAAGCCCAGTCTGACAGCACCAATGCCCCCACCCCCTGCCCCACACTCACCTCAAGCACTGGGCCAGCGCCCAGGATGGTACGCTCCACGCCGCTAGCATAGCCCTTCTGGCTGAGTGCCGTAAGGCAGTGGATGAGAAAGTTGGTGCTCTGCGTCTTGCCGGAGCCGCTCTCACCCGAGATGACAATGCACTGGTTCACACGCTTGCGCAGCATGGCGTAATAGGCCACGTCGGCCAGTGCGAAGACATGTGGCTCCAACTTGCCAAGCCGTTGGTTCTCGTAGAGCTTCACGTACTTAGGGTTGTAGATGGGCAGGAACTTGAAGGGGTTCACAGCCACCAGGATGCTGCCAGCATAGGTGTAGATCTTCTGCTGCAGGAAGCGGCACTTGAGGCTGCGCAGCAGGTTCTCCTCAGTGAGCTCAGGCAGGTTGCACAGGTCATCCACGTCAGCCTGCGAAGGTGGCAGCAGCCCGCGCTGTACTAGGCGCCGGGCGGCCGAGGCCTGGGTGGCTGGGGCAGCAGGCACGTGTTGGATGGCGCCGTCAGCGCCACGTTCCTGCAGCAGGAAGTAGTAGCCATCCTCACGCGGGTGCTCAGCCTGTGCCCGCCGAGGCCAGAGCAGCACTCGGTGCACAGGTGCATCGCCAGGGTCCAACACCCACTCCTCGCCGCCTGCCTCCTTTACTTCCACCAGCGCATAGCGCCGGCTGCCGTCCAGCCGGAGGCGGGCCACAGCCTCTCGGATGACCTCGGTCGTAGTGCTGTCCTTGGTGGCTGGCACACAGCAGGAGGCCGGGCTGGGAATCCCGGACAGCTGCGGGTAGATGTGCAGGCCAAAGGTGCCCGATTCCTGGCGGCCCGAGCCGCCTGCCTCTGTGCTCGCACTCATGCTGCCGCCCGCGGGGCTTCCGCATGCCGCCCGGGCCTGGGCGCGCGCCGGCTCCTGCAGCTGCAAGGGAGAAGGAGTCGAGGGAGGGGGAAGGACCCAAGGGCCCCCCCACCCTCATCTCCAGGGATTGAACCCAGGGCCTGTGCCAAGCTCCACCCACCCTCTGTACCTTTCATTCCATGCTGCTAAAGGCCCTAGCAGAGCCTAAACCTGTGCCCCTCCCACCTCAGCCTCCCAGAGAGCTGGGAAAAAGAGATAAGCACCCCATGCCGGCTGCTACCTTACAGGCTTTGCTCAAGTCAGGTGTGTCCTCCTGCCTCAGAGGACACAGGAGCTGCCCACCGTGCCCGGGCCTTGTCCCGTGCTGGCTGCAGGGCCTCCCTGCGGCTCTCAGGATGAGTGGTTCTGGATAGGCCCCAGGGCAAACTCCCACCCAGCCTACAGCCAAGGGATCCCCGTGGGACACTGCAGCCCTCCCTGTGCCTCTGCTGTGACCTGGAGAACACCCAGGTCATGCCAGCCCCTGCCACAGCTGGTGGAGCTGACCCAAGGGGTGACGTGGATGATGATGTCAATGTTTGACTGCGGCCATCCAGCGGCGTAGGACTCTGGCCCACAATGTCCATCGGCCAGGTTGGGATTAGGGTCCCTCTCAGCCCCACCCTAGCCCCTCCTGCACCCCCTATGATGTCCTCACAAGGCCAGGCAGGAAGCCATGGGCCCCACGAAGCTCAGCTCCCATAGGGAATGCTGGGGCGCTAGGGCTTGGAGGCAGTCAGGGCAGGCAAGCACTGCACGACCTCACCAGTTTGCTTTTCCAGGGACCCTCGACCAGCCGCACAGGAAAAGCCTCTCCTCCCCCCTGCTCCTAGGGATGCAGACTGGTGCCTGGGTCCTGCTCAGCAGGTGCCCCCCCAGCTGTGTCCCAGCCCTGCAAGAGCCAAGCTCTAAATCAGGCTCAAGTGCTGGGGGTGGGCACATGCCTGTCATCCTGGAACTCAGGAGGCTGAGGCAGGAGGATCACCATGGGTTCAAAGTTAGCCTGGGCTCCATAATGAGCTCAAAGCCAGCCTGGACTGCACAGCAAGATCCTGTCTCAAAAAAAAAAAAAAAAAAAAAAAAAAAAAGGAAAAACACACACAGGTTCTCTTCTGAAGGCCGGGGAAAGCGAACACAAGCATCGCTTGTCCACAGACCACGGAGGCCTTGGCCCATGAGGACTAGACACAGGCTGAGTCCCACCCAAGGAAGCTGAGGAAGGAAGATAAGCAGAGCCTGGTCAGCCTTGGGGGGGGAGCAGTTTGCCAAATGTGCACGAGTCAAGTGCAGTCGTTCTAAGGGGCCAACATAGTACCATCTATGATGGGTCCTTAAGGATAGAGAGGAGATCATGTAAGGGGCACAAACAGCAAGGAGGGTGTGACAAGCCCATTGCTGGGCAGATTGCGACTATGGGACAGGACACGCAGTCAGGGCAGAGACAGGAGGGCTCCATGCCCCACACAGGGAGGGTAAGCTGACCTCTGGCCCAGCTGAAGCGTGACTCAGCCACAGAGGCTGGGATGACACAAAGCACGAGGCTGGTGTGGGAGGAGACAGCTGGAAGAGCCTTGGTGCTGTCCTGGTGCTGTGACAAAGGGACTGGCCAGGCCCTGGGCCACCCCCTCACTGGCCAGGAGGAGGCTTCAGATGCGGCCCCAGCTCTTCACACACACCACGGTCACAACACTCCTCCACCCTGACAGGCTCTGACGGCCTAGGGCTGGGCTTTCTCCCTTAGTTTTAAATAAATATGTAACTTCTACTTAGAGATGGAGCCTCACTAAGTGGCTGTGCTGTCCAGGCCAGGCTGGAACTTACCCTCTCCTGCCTCAGCCTCCCGAGCACTAGGGCGACACGTGTGTGCCCTGCGCTGGCCTTCCAGTCCCTTCCCACTGCTCCTTCCGGGTCTCTTGGGCACTGCCCTGGGCTCGGCCTTCCCAGTGGGCTTTCAGAACAGGCAATATGAGCGCCTAGCCCAATACCCATGGAGCAGAGGGCCCAAGACAGACAGGGGACCCCAGTTCACAAACATGCACAGCATGATCCCAGGACCGTGAAGTGGAAAGGAAGCCAGCTCCATCCAGGGGGCATAGTCAAACAGAAGCAGAATATTACTCAGCCACAAAAAAAGACATGGCCACACAGCATAGCATGGGCAAACAGAAACCACAACGCAGGGAGAAGAGGCCAAGCATGGTGTGAGGCCCTTGTCAGGCTGGGAGGATCCATAGAGCTGGGCCACAGGCATGCACCCTACACCCCATTCCAGCTTTTGGGTTTGTCTTTCACAGTCTACCTGCATCCGTGGGACAGCACAGGAGCACGGACCACAGCAGCTGCCATCCTAGCTCCAATGCCCACAGCCACCCCAAGCAGGGAATGCTGTCCTCTGCCTCAGGAGAGGCCGGCAGCCTTGCTGGCTCCTCATGGAGACCTGGGCAGGCGTCAGCTGCAAATGATTCAGGATCGGTCATGAATGGGCGTGGAGCCCATAGGAAGCAGGTCTGTGCTTCAGAATGGGTACCTGGGGTTTCCATAGGCGTGGCTGTGGTCTTGGGCAGGAGGTGGCCATGCAGACAGACTGTCCTCTCTGGACTCAGAGCAGCCGAGGGGAAGCAGGGGGAACTCAGCCATAGACTCACACAGGATCCATCTCCTCCTCACCAGTGCAAACCCAACTAAAACCCAGGAATGGTCCTGGGTGATGCACCTGCAGTGCCCAGGATAGACAGAGAACACAAAGGACAGGACCGGCCCTTTGGAGTACTATGCAGCTGTGAAAAGGGAAAGCTCCTGCCCCTCCAGAATAGGGACTGTGAAAGCAGCCTACACAGGGCACAGCACAGAGTAGGCAGGGCACTGGGCTGTCTCAGGGCTCAGTACATTCTGGAACCACTGAGTACTAGTTTGTCCACGAAGAACCTGGCCACATGGAAATCCAGCCCAGCCATGGAGTGACGGCACCCACATGGGGCCCATGATCCCCAATGCACTCGACAGTTGGTGACGTGACACCGTGCAGCTCTGCGCACTCTCCCTGCCTCATCTGGGTGCCGCAGGCAACTGCCCTGCATGTGTGGATAATCATGTGGCCGATTCCTCGGCTGTTCCAGGGCTGACCCGGTGAGGTCAACTCAGCTTAGGCTTGTGCCCTGCCACTGGGCAAGGGGGGTGGACACTAGTGTGGGTGCCTGAAGGGCATGAGGGACACAGCTGGGACAGCGCAGCTCTGCAGCGGCATCACCAACTGCGTCTATAGCTGGCACTGGGGCTCCACGCACTAAGGAGGCTGAGGCAAAAGGATCCCTGCGAGTCTGGGGCCAGCCTGGACCACTCAGCGGAACTCTGTCCCAAACAACTGAATCTGGGTCCCCAAGGGTGAAATCGCCCACAGGGAACTCACAGCTACCCCTACCCTCAGCATATGCTCCTGCTGCAGGCGAGATTGTGCTGGAGACAGCAGGGGCAACGGCACAGAGACAGGTGACCTATGCCCCCACCCCGGAGGAGGAAGTGGGGGGGTCCCACCTGGGGCTGGGGGTGCATGGCAGCCACCACCCTTGTGGTCTGAGCCCGTGCACCCCAAGGCGGCGACCCTGAATCAAAGATTGGCCCTCTGGTCCCCTCTCTAGGTTGTGGTCACAGACAGGACACGTGATAGACCAGCCATGAGCGGTACTTTCAAGGCTGCTCTGCGCCCATGCGCTCTGGCTATCACCATGGGAGGACCAAAGGGATGGACATCCTGAAGGGGAGCTGGGTGCCTGGGAGCTCAGGGACAGGACAGGAGCCAGTGAGGCTGGCAGCGGGGAAAGGGTGTAGACCCCAGGGTGGATGCAGGGGCCAGGATGGGGGCAGGGACCTGGGCCCCTGCAGGCAACCAGGATACGACCAGCAGGAGCTAGATCAGGCAGGGTCCCAGGCCACCCCGTCAGGGACTGTTTGTGCCAGCCTGCAGGGTCCAAGGCTTCAGCCTGCCATCTCTGGGCTCTGGACAGTCAGCAGCAGCTACCTGAAAAACGGGACTCAAGCTAAACTTGAAACTCTCTGCCACCCCAGCACCCTGGGAGGCTAAGGCAGAGGGATGGCAAGTTCAAGTCCAGCCTGGGCTACCTAGTTGACTTAATGATACTGTCACAAAGTGAAAAACTGAAATTAAAAAGGAGTGGTATGCAGCTAGGCACACAAGTCCTGGGTTCTACTCCCAGCATGGCAACCAGCCAGCCAGCCACTGTGGGCTCCCACACTGCCGCTTCTGGTCCCTTCTGATTTCTTCCCCTGCAGAGCTAGGGACAGGACCAGGGGCCTAGGCTCAGTCACCTGTGGGCAGGGTTGCTCCATCCCCAGACGGGGTCCACTTGCCCTCCCTGCCCCTGCCAGCCGCATCCCCTCCCCAGAGATCTGGGTCCCCAAGGTCAGCACCCAGCATGCCGGGTGCTGGGGCCATCCAGGGATCCTGATGGGCAGCAAAGGCCCTGATGCACAGATCACAGTCACAGGTCGAGTCTCTGTCACTGTGAAGAAGGCCTTGGGGTCCCAGTATGCCGGGAAGCTGAGGCAGAATGATGGCGAGTCCCAGTCCAGCCCACACAACTCGGTGACTCAGGGAAACCCCTTCTGAAAGTTAAACCCAAGGACTGAGGAAACAGCAGGTTACGAAGGCCTGGGTCCTGCTCCCATCTGGTGCCACCCAGCACCTCTGCTGTTGGCCGTGACCTGGAGCCTCCCATGCCACCTGTGGCCCAGGGAGTAGCACTGCCCAGGTGCCCACCACCCTGGGATCCATCCTGTCACCTCAACTCCAGGACTGCCAGCTCATATGTACCCCAAAGGTCCTACCCTCCAGCCCTGATCCTGCAGGGAACCCTGGGGGAGCCCCGTGGGAGGGACACAGCTGGCATCTGGGAGGCAGGGTCTGCACAGTGCTGAGCACCCTGTGGGACAGGTGGCCTGCCCACCTCAAACCTCCCACCCCAAGCCGAGGAACCACCTCAGATAGATGGGAAAGCATACTTGGGCCTTGGGAGGACCCAGCAAAGCCCCAAGCCAGGGCGAGCAGCATGGCACCGTTGGGAGACTGCATCTGTCACCCCCGCAGCTGGCCCTGCCCTCCCCCCCGCTGCCCGTGGGACCCTGGGGGCCACCACCCAGCCGGCTCTGCTGCAGGTGACAGTGGCTCTTCCAGAAGCTTCTCTCATGCCATCCCTGGGCAGCCACCAGATCAGGCCAAGATGGCCCCCCAAGTGGAGCTGCTGGGGGGCCGCCCTTCTTAGGGCCCTTTTTGGATAGACGCCTGCTTGTGATTTCCCCAAGGTTCCCACCCAGCCCTAAAACTCCCCCATGAATTTCCAGGAGCTCTGCTCCTCTGTGCTGGTCCCTGCTTTCCTGTCACTCTGTGACTGGGAGATCCAAAGTCCCCAGTGGAACCTCCCAAAGCTGTCCAGGCCTGGACCCCTTTCTTCCCTGGCTCTTCCTGTTGGGAAGCAATGTGTCCCTCACCCAGGGTGACAGGCACACGATGTCCCCAGCCCCAGCATGACAGGCAGCTGGCTCTGCCAGTTCATTTGAGACCAGGTCCCCAGATACCTCAGCCTGCGCGACAGCCTCCAAGGGAAGGGACTTATCCTCGACCCCAGACCGGCATGCAGGGACACTGGGGTCACAAGCTAACCTCCTCCCAATCAGTCTCATGAGCAGGTCCTGGCTGAACCCTGAATCACCCTGCACCCCCGCAGGGCCTGAGTCAGAACCACTTGGGGTGCCTTTTGGCCCTGGGGGACCTCAAGTAGCTTGTGGTGGTAGCAGCGGCAGCAGCAGCAACCCAGCTGGACGAGACAGGGCCCTTTGTTCTGCAGCAGGGACGGCCTAGGGCAAGGGACCAGGCCTGTGTGGTTCTCTGCAGGGCAGCTGTGTAGGGGCTGCCTGGCACAGGCATGCTGGAGGCCAGGGTACAGGCCTCTGGGCGCACACACCACACTCTGCGGGGGCTGGGGACAGTGAGGGGCACGGGGACCCATGGGCATCTCCAGGCACAGCAGATAACAAAAGCTGCCTTCAGCCTCTATCCAGGCCAACCTGAGAGATAGCTTCTGAGACCGGGATCTGGTATCTCTAATCTCGTAAGCAGAGGAGTGACAGTGTGTTCCCACACGGGGACAGTGCCTTCCAAATTTCAAGACATGGTGCCACAGGGAAGGAGGGACATCAGTCCCCAAGGCCCTGCACTGTCCCTGCTGCTCCCCCTTACCCCCTCCCACAGCTCCTCCATCAGACCCGGGTGCTACAGGTTCACAGGTGACCTGCGGATCAGGAAGTGACCTCGAGACACAATTTGGGGTCCTATCTCCACGCCCTGGAAGCGGCCTGGCACAGATGCCAGGCCCACTGAGGCCAGGATCTGGGCTGGGAACCTCTGGTTCCTAGAATTGGCCTCACCCAGAGCACGGTGGTCCAGAGCAAAGGATGGTGCACAGTGGCGGTGCAGCTGAGAAACTGAAGCAATTTAACCCAAGCCAGGACTCTGCACCTGCAAAAGCCCAGGCCCAATTCCCAAAGCTGCCATCAGCCAGTGCCCATCACAGGGCTGGCAAGGAAGACATGCCTGCTGATAGCTGGCAGAATATGAGAGCAATGGGGGATCCATGCACCAAGCCGGGTCCTGGGTGAGGGGCAGCTAGGAACCTGTTCATGCCATTTGCCTCTTCCTGGGAAGCCTGCTGGAATCCCCCAGTCCCAGATGGGCCTGGCTCATACCCAGCTCCGCCCCAGGGACACCTTGTGTGGCCTCTGCCTCCATACCCAAACACCAAATGTTCCCAGGCACCCGTCCCCAGGAAATGAGGGCCAGCCCCATGCCCAGCACTGAGCTCAGGCCACCTGGTGCTCGAGAAGACAAGGAAAGGGAAGTGGCTGCTCAGTGGCCCCTGTTGGGGAAGAGAAGTAGATCCCATGGTCAGAAAGCAAGGGAGATTCCCAAGCCCCCAGCTGGTGCCCAGGCACAGGCCAGGTGTGAGGATAACCCTGCCCAATAATTCCCAGGCACCACTCTGGGGACAGGGGCACTGCACTCTCCTCACCAAGACAAGCATAGGAGTACAGCTTGTGTTGAGCGCTGGCCTGGCACGGATGAGGTCCCGGGCCCCTGCCCAGTACTGCAGGGAGAGAACCCCAAAGAACCACCTCGGAGCCAGTGCTGCAGAACACAGAAGGCAGGGCGGGTCCTGCAGGCGGCAGAGTTAATGAGAGGGGTTGGGTGGAAAACGCTGATCATGCCAATGCCTTCCACTCCCTCCCAGCTGAAGGACTGGGGGGAGACCTGTCCGAGGCAGTGCCCAGCACCCTTGGTGTCCCATCCAAGACCCCAGGGGACCATGCTCTGGTGCAGGGAGGCAGCCCCCACGAGATCCCACGATGGACGATTATGTCCTTCTGTCCCGGCCCCCTGGCCACCAGGGTGTCTAAGCCAGAGCAGGCACAAAGACAACGTCTGCTACACACGAGCCTGGGCTGTAATTGTGTGTCCTGGGGCAAACAAGGCTGCAAACCTTCTGCCTCCCAAGACAGAACATTCAGGAAAAGATCTGGGGTGCTCCTCTATGGCCTTCTTACATATTGAACTACACAGACCCATCTCCCACATAAGCAGTATCCTTTCTAGCAGATCACAGATAAGAACCCCACAGTGGAGAATGGGAAACACTGATGCCAATGAAACCTCCAGCTGCTTCCCCTCGACAGGGGAGACAAAGGCCCCGGTTGTGCCCTCAGCTGCCAAGGTGGCCTCCCACCCCAACACCTGAGGATTCCTGGGACTCCAACACCAGAAGATGCCTGGGGAGGCAGGGGAGGGGCTGGAACCCGAGGGGATGGCCTCACCGACCACCAGCCAGAGGGGCATAGCAGCAGCCCCTCAGCGACTTTTGGCCTCCAGGGAGCCCCGGAAAGAAGGGGGGGCACACGGTGGCTGGGCCACTGCCGAGGCTGAGCTCACAGCCGCCATCGCCAGGGACACACTTCCTGTGTGTCGTTTTACCCATTTAAGTCTAAGGATGGAGGCTGCAGAGGTGGCAGTATCCCCATCCCCTCTGAAACACAGCTCAGGGCCCCCACGTTCCGGAACCCCAAGATCCAGCTAGACCCTCTTGGGCACCTACAGCGCTTAAGAGTTTCCAAGACAAGGCGGGGGAGGGACCTAGCCATCCTAGAGCTACCGAGTGTGAAGCCAGAAAGGGGAATCAAGACGGAAGGGGAGACCTCCGGGACTGCACCCCAACACCCACACAGGATTGTGCCGCCCCTGCCTCCCCGCGTCCCCTTCATCAGCCACCCCCCTTTTTCTCCCCTCCCACCTCCGCTTCCCCCTTCCCAATAGCCGGCGGCTGCCACATCAGTGGCTTGGGAGCCGCTCACTCCCGGGGCGTCCCAGGCCGGTCTAGACTCCGCGCCCAGCCGCACCCAGCCTCGCCTCCCCGGCCGGGCCCCCGACTAAGTTCTTCGGCCGCAGCCCTGCTTCCTGCGACTCTCCTCAGGGTCCCCAAAGCCACGTCCTCCTCAGGGCTGCCCGCGCTCTTCCGCCTCCCGGTCCCTCGGCCTCTGCCCGCCCCCCGGACCCCGCGCCACCCCTCACGCGCCCCAGCTAGACCCTGCTCTGCACCCCCATCCGTCTCGAGCTGGCGCCCCCTCCTGCAGCCACTCAGCGCTCACCTGGGCCTCGGCCGCCGCGCGCCGCCGGTCCCGGGCGGGATCCTCACTCGGACGCCCGCCAGCCCGCCCGCCGCCGCCACTGCCCCGCCGCTGCCCCGCCGCCGCGCTCCGCCCCACCGCACCCGCCGCTCCCCCGCGCGGCCTACTTCCGGGTTCCGGAGAGGCGGGCCCCGGGAGCGTGACGCCCGCGCTGGCGGAGGCGGGGCGCCTCTAGTTCCCGCCCCTTCCTTTGGACCGCGGCCACCGCTCCCAGCAGCAGCTGGGCGATACCAAGTATGAGGAAAGCAGGGGAGTCCCTGCGCACGGGACGTCCGCTCCGCACTGTGTCAGCGCGCCCCGCCCGGCGGGCACCCCTTCTGCGCCTTCGCCGTGAGGTCTCACCTGCGGCGCCGAGCCTTTGAGTGGAAGGCGGGAAATGGCGGAGTTCTCGGGGCGCGGCGCGGGGTGAGTGGAGGCCCCGCGTTCTGGGTTTGTGGGGACCTCAGGGGAGGCCTTGGCGAGGGCTGCAGCTCGCCAGCAGAAAGTTGAGAAAGGAGAATCGTTGGGGCGAGTTCGGGACCCGACCCCTCTGAGAACCGTGCGGCAATTGTGCCCCCGCTCCCTGTGGCATCTGCGCATGCCCGGAACTCGCGCTCTTGACCCGGCCTGGAGTTCGAGTCCAGGGCTCTGCGCTATCGTGTTAGTGAGTCAGAGCGAGTGATTCGGCTTCTGCCTCGCTTCTCTGCGCCCCGAAACACAGCCAGTGACGCCCTGTGCCCTCGGAGGTGCTGGGGGAGGTGTTGGCGTACAGCAGGGGCGTTAGCGCCCTTGCAGTGACGGCGCCCACCCTTGCGTGCCTTTGCCTCCTCTCGCCGCACGCGTCATGCTCCCGGATTATGGAGGAGACTCTGGGGGCGCACCGAGAGAGGAAGACGCATTTCCCAGGCTCCCCCAGCAGGAGCAAGGAAGAAGTGGAACGCTAGCTGCGCGTTCCGGGCCGGGCGAGTGTCATTATCCTCTCTGGTCGGGGCCACCCCGATTGCCGGCCCCCAACAACCAGGGGGACAGTGTTGGCGGAAAGCGAAGGGGAAGGAGAAGGGCTAGGAAGGAGACGCGGGAGTCTCTGGGGCCTCCGATGCCCGGCTCCTGTGTCCGGGAGGGTGACAGCCAGACCAGCTAGGGAGCCCTAAGCCGCGGGCGGAGTCCGCGGCTTCCTCTCCCACGCGCGAGCCGGGTCGCCCGCTGGGCCACCTCTGCGCCAGCATCGGAGCTGAAGCGAAGCGTGGGTAGCGGTTCCGCCCGCAGCCTCAGGAAGTCAGGGAAGCCACGGAGTTCTCATTGAGAGACGCTGACTTATAAGGAGCCGTTTCACCCGCATAGGCACTGCCCCACCTCACTGAGCTCTCAAGCCATTGTTCACAGAGCGCTTTCGCAGCACCTCTGTCCTCTGCTTAATTCTGGTGTTGTCATCGTCCTATTCTCCCTTACCCCGGGTGGCTGTTAGCTTCCCCCTAATTGGCTGTGACCTCGCGCCCGGTCCCCTTAGCAGCAGAGTGATTTTCAGGCCAAGTGGATGTAGAGTTCATGTCGTTTCATTGTAGCCAGGCTGTAGGTGATAATGCCCTGAAACACCAGATTTGCTCTCGGTAGTTACAAAGCTTAGGAGCAAAAAGGAAAACAGCTGGGTAAGGAGCCACAGGCCCCTAATCCCTCCACTCTAAGAGGCCCAGGCAAGAGGATGGCAAGTTCAAGCCCAGCCTCAGCGATTTAGCAAAACCAGGTTCACAGTAGAAAAGGCTGGAGATGGGAGCTCAGCATAAAGGCCCTGGGGTCCATGCCAAGTACCACAATGTAAAAACAAGTAAAACTAGTAAGAGCAAAGTAGGTTCCAGCCGTCAGAACCAATTTGTGAGGCAGGTTTACTTTTGTTGGGGAGGTGCCTTAAGCATTGCAGTCAGAGCCCTCTTCTTATCCAAACTCGGATTAGCATTTGGGGCAAGCACTTAATTATGTCAGGTAGCAAAAATTACAGCTGGGCATGGTGGTGTGGGCCCACACAGGGAGCAGTAGGGAAGCCGAGGCAAGAGTCCCTGCGATTTCAAGGCCAGCCAGAACTAGATAGTGAGACCCTGTCTCAAAACAAAAAATATTTTGAAAATACCAGGAATTACAGTTTAGCACTTAGGCTGCATTTGTTTTGGTGGTTTTTTATGGGGGCATCTTTAGAATTTCTTAGGTACAGAGAACTGCAAGATTTTGTATAGTCTACAAAAGTCAATGTCTGTTTACCAATTAAAACATACTTTTTGTTTTAAACATACATTTCATGTGCGTGGAGTCAGGACTCAAACTCAGGACCTCATGCTTGCCAGGCAAGCACTGTGCCACTCAGTTATACCTCTGGCCAAAAATATACATTTTTATAATAAAGCACAACTGTCTCTCACTGAGTAGGAGGAACAAAGCTCTTGGCAGCTAAATTCCTGTAAGGAATACACAAGGTAGCAATTTAGCAGAACAGTTTATTTTTATTGCGTGTTAGGGCAATGAGTGTGATTGTATTAAACCTGGACAGTTAGCTTCCTAAAAATAAAACTTTACTTTAAAAATACTTTGAACAGGCACCTAAATAAACTCTTAACTTTCTCAAGATTTAATGTTCCTCAACAATAAGACAGAAAAATAGTAGTTGTTTATTTGCTGAAGGGAAAAAAAAAAAAAAGCCGTTTCAGCCTTTCTTAAGACTTAGCATTAGGGCTGGGGATTTAGCTCAGCGCCATAAGTGCCTGCCTTGCAAGTGTGCGGTCGTGAGTTCAATCCCCAGTACTGATAAAAAACGAAAAAGACAAAAAACAAAAACAAAAAAAAAGACTTAGCATTAGCCAGGTATGGTGGTGCACACCTGTGATCCCTGCACATGGGAGGCTGAGGCAAGAGGATCACTGTGAGTTGGAGGCCAGCCCAGATTATTAAGTAAGACTCTGTCTCAAAAAAAAAACTGTTAGCATTGGACTGTATAAATAAATATTTGGACAGACTGGGTAAAGTCACAGCTCCTGTCAAGGCAAAAGAAAAGACACTTTTCTCAGACTGATTTACTAAAGTACTCGAGGAGTTGCCTTTCCACAAAAGGGTATGCCTGGAGATCTTTGCATGATGAGCAAACAGAGCTTTCACTCCCCTCAATGCAAACCGATCTAGCTTCGTCTGGCTGACCGATCTGCACAAGGGTGAAGCTGTGTGTGGGCAGGGCTTCTTGTCTCCTGCTGTCCCTCGGGGACAGTCTCAGCCCTAGAGCACATCAGAGTTATGCTGGGGCTCACATTTAGAACCAAATGCATCACTGCATCTGGACGTTAGGAAACCAAGGCTTCTTGGATTTGCTTAAGTTTATGTGTTTTGGTTTTGTTTTTTTTGAAGATGGGGTCTCACTATGTAGCCCAGGCAGCCCCTAAACTCCTGGTGATCCACCTGCATCAACATCCACAATGATGGAGGTTTCCAGTACTTTAGTTTTGCATAGCATAGCAGGCACCCAAGGCTGGTGATATCTTGTTCCTGCCTCAGCCCCATAAGGGCTGGCCTTGGCCTCCCCAGCCCTGCCTCCGTCCTCTAGGCCCAGTCTGGTATCATCCCAGAGGGAGGCTGCATCCCTGGTTAGTCGGCCAGGCCTGTCTCAGGCCCTCTTTTCTGTTACATCAGGCGGCAGCCGTCTATTTTTAAATTCTTACAAGCTGAACATGACATTGGCCATTCTCTACTTCACCAGCCAGCTGGCTGCGAATGGGGATTCAGACTCTGAGCTGCACTGAGACGGCTGCTGGGTCCCTGGTGGGCTGGGCCAGGGGCCCATCCGAGGTCGCCCTCCTGCCCCAGCCTGGTTCCAGAGCCTTTACTATTGGGAAGGGGAACCTGCGACAGTCACCCAGGCTGTCTACCTCCTCTCTCCAGGTTTCCCTATGCCAAGCAGCAAGATCATCTCCTGGGCGCTATTTCATGCCCACACATTTTTTTTTCTGAGATAGGCTGCCCTTGAATTAGCTGCAGTCCTCCTGAGTACTGTGATTTCAGGCATGTACTACCACATTCCTGCCCCCCAAGCCATGCCGGGAATGTGCCAGGTGCCTTCGCAGGGCTTTGTGGGTGCTGAGCTGACCCAGCTCCTCTCCTCATGTCAATAGCCCCCTACCCTTGTGATTTCTGGTGTCTCCGATCCCAGAGAGGCACAGTCTTGTTACTGTGTCTGAGCCTACGCAGCGACACGTGCATCACCATGCCAGCCCTAGGTCCAACCTCCTGGACAGGACGGCAGTGCCATGGGCACTGGTAGCACCTAAACACCCAGGCCGGGGCAGGAGGGTGACCTCGGATGGGCCCTGGCCCGCCCCACCAGGGACCCAGCTGCCGTCTCAGTGAGGCTCAGAGTCCGAATCCCCATTCGATGCCTCCTCACATGGCCCTGGCCACCTTGTTGCTCTTCCTGGGGAGGTGGCTGTCCCCCATTCCCTGGGACTAGGTGTTCGGTGCAGAGATGAACGAGACCTCTGCCCTCTTGCAGGAAGCCCTTCATGTCGGGGCCCAGCACCCCTGGCAGCTCCAGGGCCAGGGGAAGAAGAGTACCAGGTGAGTGTGTTGGTCCCTGCCAGGAAAGTGCCCCATGCGTCCCTGGCACGGGCCCCTCCTTCCTGCGCTCTGACAGGCTGAGGCAGGAGGGTCAGCCCAGCCCAGCCCAGGCCATTTGACAGCACAGACCTTGTCTCCAAATGAAGTTTAAGAAGGGCCAGGGATGCGGCCCAGTGCAAAGGCCCTGGGCTCCTCAGTCCTCCCGTTCACCAGCCTCTGGTTTCTGAGGCAGGTGGGAGGATGGTGGAGTCCCGCTACCTACAGTATGAGAAGAAGGCAGCCAAGAAGGTAAGGGGGCAGCCATGGCCTGGGACTAGGGTTCTGGTCCCACAGGACTGGCACCAAGGTTTCCTGTGTCCTCTGTGCTGGCTGACACGAGCCTTGAGCCCACCCTAGCTATGAGGGTCCAGCCATCTCACACGGCTGGGCCAGAAGTGTGGTCCGTCCATCCCCTGAGTGTCGCCATCCTGCACAGACCCCAGCTGCAGACACCACTGCCAGAGGCGGTGGGAAGGTGACAGATGGTGTGAGGAGAGCTGGCCAGCCACCTAGGCCCGCAGGTGCGCAGGGTCCCCAGGCCTGTGGGGCATCCACTCTGGCTGGGGCGGATACTTGGACTCCCCGCCTCTAACTGTGGCATGGTCAGCCGCGCCAACCTTGCCTCTTGTCCACATAGGAGACTGCAGTGGTGTGGACAAGGGTGACCTGCAATCCACCCTGCTGGAGGGTCATGGCACAGCACCGCCTGACCTGGACCTCTCGGCCATCAATGGTATGTGGGGGCGGCCAGGGCGCAGGTGTACTGTGGGAACCTTGTGTGGGACTGGGGTCTGTCCCCGCCTGGCCAGTGCACTCTCATGCTTGTTGAGCAGCAGCAGCGAGTGCAGCTCCCAGGCAGCCCCAGTGGTGGCCACATCTTCCCAGCCCCCACACACAGTCTGTGCCCCTCCCACTGTCCTTGTAGACAGGAGCATGGTCAGGAAAACACCACAGCTGGAAAAGATGCTGTCAAGGAAACCCAAGGCGACCTCCTTCATGGCCCCGCAGAGAAAGGGCCTGGTAAGCATGCAGCAGGAGGACACTGGGCCACACTGGCCTGGTCTCCGGGGGCTAGCCCCAAGTCCCCATGCATATTAGTGGGCTCCTCCAGCTGTGTGGGGAGCACACCTGTCCTCCCTGCACTCCAGAGGCTGAGGCAGGGGAAGTTTGAACACAGCCTGGGCAGCTGCTGTCTCAGCAAGAGCCTGGAGAGCCTGTCTCAACTTTTGAAAGGACAGGGGCTACAGCTCAGTGGTGTTCCTGCCTCAGCCTCCTGAGTGCTGCTCCCTCACAGGATCTGCCGGAGGTGATGGAGATGGTGGAGTCCCAGACGTTACTGTTGACCCTGCTAACATTGAAGGTGACGCCTCACTGTCCTGGGCCCAAGGGTAGGAGGGATGGGGCCTGGACATCCATGGCCCAAGCTGAGCTTTGCATCCCTGCAGATGGAGAATGGGCTGGCAGGGCTGGAGGAGAAGGCAGAGCACAGTCTCCTGGCTATGGGCCAGGAGCGTGCCCGGCTGCAGCAGCAGTGCCACAAGCTACAGCGTGAGCTGCTGCTCCAGCAGAGGCGCCAGGCACTGGCAGGCACATTGGATGCCCAGGTGGGTGCAGGTGGCAGTACCTGGCCCGAGCCAGCTCTCCTGCCTCAGCCTCCAGAGTGCTAGGGTGACAGGTGTAGGCCCCATATCTGCTTTGGCTTCCTCCTCCCATTAGGACCCCAGATGCATCTGCCCCCATCACTGCTGCCCCAAAGTCATCGCATCCCAGGACACTGGCAGGCCCTTGGGGTGAACTGGGGTGTGGCCCCTCTGGGGCACAGGTATCCCCCAGACCTCACCAGCCACAGCCTCAGGGTGCTGTGCAGGCCAGGTCTTTGGGAGACAGCTTTCCTATGTTTGCCACTACTGTGGGAACTCAGAGACAGGACTGGGAAGGACGGCACTGCCTCCAGCTCCACCTGCAGCCTGGCCTCTTGGGTTCCTCCTGCAGGTGGAGGTGCTGCAGCCCCTCGAGGCAGTGGCCGGTTGCTTCCAGGAGCACTACAGGACGCTGGCCATGGCCCTGGACACCACACGGCATGAGCTGCCCGTGAGAGCCATCCACCTGGAGGGTGACGGCCAGCAGCTCCTCGGTAGGATCTGGGCCAGTCCCCACGGGGCAGGACCCTGTGCCCACCCCTGACCAGTGCCCTGTCCTTCCAGGTAGCCTGCAGGCCGAGCTGGCCACCACCCGCCGCCTGCTGGCCGACCTAGGCATTGGCACTGAGGAGCACAGGCAGACACTGGTGCTGCTGGCAGAGCTCAGGGACATGACCAAGCAGAAGGACCTCGAACTCCAGAGGTGGCCCCTACCCAACGGGTGGCTCGGTTTCCCAGGCAGGGGAGGGGTGGCCAAAGGGATGCATGGCCCTGAGTGACTTAGGGCTGCCGCCTTCCCAGGCTGGACTCTGCATGTGCATGCAATCATTTGCAGCACTGGGCAACAGACCTGGGGCTTTCAAGGAGCCATTTGCATTTCCTAGGCTCCTGACTCTCCTACTCAGCCTCCCAGAGTTCTAGGGTCATGGCCTTCCTTCTCTTCCGGCCACACACACACCTCCTTACCTCCTCCATTCCCGCAGGAGCCTTGCGCAGGTGATGGAGCTGGCGGCCCAGGCCAGCAAGGAGGCAGCACTGGCCAACCAGGAGGCCTGGGAGGACATGCAGGGTGCTGAAGCTGCCCGCCGCTGGTATTTCACCCCGCCAGAAGCACGTCGGAGCCCCCCAGGGCCAGCTGAGGACAGAGTCCTTGGATGCCACCCGCCCACTCACGACATGGAGCTCCTCACTGCTTAGCATGGCCCTCGGTGTCTCATGCTTAAAAGGAACTTGTGTGACCCCAAGGGATGGCAGGAAGGGGTGTGGCTGTGGGTGACGAGCCAGTCTGGGAAAGCCAATGTCCCCCCTAGTCCCAGGGCCAGCCCACCACACCCTTGCACTCTGCCTTGCTCCCCAAGTCATCCAGGCCCACCCCAGGTGACTTCACTCCTGGACACCCACAGTTCTCGCTGGCCAGTTGGATCCCTTAGCCTTCGTGCCCTGGCAGCCCCCCAGGCCTATTGCAGGAGGAAACCTGTGCGGCTCAGAAAGAAAGTTTCTCCTGCCCCCACCTACGGGACACAGAGAGCCTTGAGCCCAGCATGCTGCTGGCTTCCTGTTGCTCCTGATTGATGGCCAGGGCCTGTACCAATGCAGCAAGCCAGGGACAGCACACTCTTGGCTGATGTTTTCTGAGACCATCTCACTGTGGTCATACCGCAGGCTGGCGTGGAACTGGATCTTCCCACATCAGCCTCCCAAGGCTTGAGGTACATACACCACACCCAGTGAGAGCAGCCGGCCCAGCTAAGTTGCTAGGTTGTCCAGGCTGGATTTGAACAGATAACCTTCCTGCCTCAGCCTCCAAAAGTGTTGACATTATAGATGTGTATCACACCTGGCCTGCGTTTTGTTTTTTTATGTTTTTTAAAGCTGCCACCTGGGGGCAGGGGATTTAGCTCAGTGGCATAAGCGCTTGCCTTGCAAGTGTGTGGTTGTGAGTTTGATCCCTGGTACTGATAAAGCTGCCACCTGATGACTGCAGGTGGATTTGCCACTGCAGAGCCCCGGGCCCCATCCCTGTCCCTGCTGCAGTGTGAAGCCTTTCTGAGCCACAGGGCTGGAAGGGCTAGAGGACAGCTCCCCTTACAGATCACTTGGGCCACAGGGCCCTGCTCAGACAGGTTGGGGCTTAGAAAGAGCTGTGGACATGCCAGGCAGGAAGAGGCAGGTACTGAGCCACAACCTGGAGGCTGAGGCAGGACAGTCTGGAGCTCATGCCCAGGCTGGCTCCTTTTGAGATACTGTCTCAAAATTGTACAAACCAACCTAGCATTGAACGAGGCTCAGGGTTCTGAGCCCAGCACATCACCCAAAGGTAAACCCTTAATGTCTCTGGCTGGGGTGGGAAAGCATTCAGGAGGTTTGGTACCTTGGAGAAACCAGAAACGTCCTGGCCAAGTGACAGCAGCACACGGCAGGTGACACAGATACACAGTGGCCTGGGGTCCTCTGGGACAGGAAGTAGGGAGGGTATGTAGGAGTGCAGTACCCAGCCAGTCCCTCAGAGATACAGAGGGGACTCTGCCTCCTGGGGAGTCTGCCAATTCACCAGAAGCAGCTGTCATTCCAGCTCCTTTAGAGGCTGAGATGAGAAGGTAGCAAGTTCAGGACCAGCCTGGGCAAGTTAGCAAGCCCCTATATCAGCATAGTGGGGCCTGGTGCAGCCTGGTGGGCAGAAGCTCGGCTGGCACAGGAGCCCTGGGTCAGGCCCCAGAGTGGCCTCCCCTAGTGCTGTCAAATGCTGCAGGCCACTTTCCTGTACCCTTGGACTGCTGTACCCAGCTGCCTGGCGACCCATCCAGCACCCTGGCCATCCCTTGGCCTGCCTCTGCCCCTCTCCCCACAGGGCCCTCCCATCACTGAGGCTCCTGCCCTCCCCAGACCCACCTTAGTGCCAGGGTGTACTGTCCCTGTTTGTGCAGGGCCAGACATTTTGCTGTCTCATGTCCTTTAAGGTTTTATTGGAAGCATCATGGACCACAGTGAGCCCAACTCAAGTGTCCCCACCCCCACCCTATGAGGCCAGGCAGATGGGACAGGGACCAGGTGGTGGGTGTGGGGGGCAGGGCGGGGTGGAGAGGAAAGCAGGCCGGCTTCCAGGGAGGCAGGGCTGCACAGGCTGGGCTGCAGTGGGGCCACATCGTGGGGACCTGCACCTGAGCCCTTGGGTTCCCAGGGCTGCTGTGACCGTGACCCATGGGGTCCACAGTGGCAGGGACTTCTGGGTGGAGAGCACTTCCAGCTGCGTTGGGCCAGGGCCACTGTGTACCCTCTTCAGGACAGAGGCCTCCAACCTCCAAGGTCGCAGAGCCATCAGGGGTGCAAGGAGTGAGTACCGGTGCCTGCACTGCCCACGTCTTGGGAACCCTGGGATGTGGCAGTGGTCCTGGGCAACCAGCAGCGCAGCTGTGCCCGCACCTTGTCCCGGAACTCAGGGGATGCGTAGTAGTACAGGAAGGGGTCAACACAGCTGTTGAGGGTGCTGAGCGCCAGGCTGGGCAGGTAGGCACCGTACAGTTCCCCACCGGCACCCGGGCTGGGGTCTGTGTAGTGCAACAGCAGCAGCACATTGCTGGGCACAAAGAAGGCCACAGCAGAAGCCAGCACCAATGCCGTGAGTCGCAGTGCATGGCTGTGGCGCCGGCTACCAGCTGCCAGCACACACAGTGTGACCCCATGGCACAGTGCCATGAGCAGCAGCGGCAGGAAGCAGCCCAGTGCAGCCAGACAGAGAAAGGCTGGCCGCCAGAAGGCTGTCTGTGTGGCCAGTGGCAGCACATCATGACAGAGCAGGTGGCCGGAGCCTGCCAGGCGGAAGGTCTGGCGCCCCAGGGCCAGGGGTGCGGCCAGTGTGGCGGCCCCTAGCCAGGCACTCATGCAGAGCCCAGTGGCCAGGCGGCGGCCCCGCAACGCACGGGCACGCAGGGGGTGCACCAGCGCCAGGTAGCGGTCCAGGCTGATGGCAGCCAGCAACAGCGCTGCACCATACATGTGACCGTAGAGGGTGGCTGTGGATACTCGGCAGGCCGCTTCCCCGAGGGGCCATCGCTGGCCACGCAGGTGGTAGACAAGGCGTGGGGGCAGTGCCAGGCCCAGCAGTAGGTCGGCGGCTGCCAGATTCATGAGCAGCGCGGTGGCCGGCAGCCGTGGACCATGTCGGGCCAGGACCCAGAGTGCCAGTGCATTGGCCGGCAGCCCCACGGCCAGTGCCAGCGCATATAGCGCGGGCACCAGCCGTGTGGGTGCCCAGCCCAGTAGCAGCACCTGCAAGCGGTCCGGCAGCTCCAGCACATCACTGTCGTTGGCAGAGGCCTGGCCCGGGAAGCTGCGTGGGGCCACCTGCTGTGGGGTCCTTGCTGCCTCAGAACTGGCCCAAGGCCCTGTCAAGCCCACTGCAGAGAGGGGAGAGAGGGCTCAGGGACCCAGCTTGGGACTAGCACCAGACAGGCAGTGACTCGGAAGGGAGAAGCCAGCACTGGGGCCAGGGCCCCCACATTCTACTCCCCCGGGCAGAGTCCCCACCTCAAGGCCAGGCCACTCACCGTCATCCTCATCATAGACACTGGGGGTTGAGGTGCTACCTGCCAGGCCGAGCCCCAGCACCAGCAGCCACAGCAGGGGCTCCCACATGCTGCCGTCCCTTCGTCAGTGGCCAACGCTTCCTGCCTTGTCACCCAGGGCAGCTTCCGGAGCTGCAGAGATAAAGTGGGATGTGGTGACCTGGTACTCCCAAGGCCACCAGGGAGGCTGCGAGTGTGTGAGTGGGCAGGTGGCCTGTTCCCGCTGTCTCTATGGTGTCCTCCACAGGCCAGCAGAGCAGAGTGGTCCGTGGAGTGGTCCCAGGGTGACCACAGGGATTTTCCAGGCAGTGGCCAGGCCGGGCCCCTGACAGTAACAGAAACTGAGGGTGGGGCTCCCAAGTGGCCGTTTCCTGCTCCAGTCCCACACAGAGATGGCCGGAAAGTGACTGTGCTGTCTCCAGCCTTCCAGGGCCCCAGACCCGGGCACCACCCCCAGGGAGGGAGGGCAAATGCTGGGAGCCTTGGTCATCAAAGCTGGGACCACACTGCACCAAGCGAGGGCTCTGGCTCAGAACTTGGCCAGAAATGCACACGCAGTAGGGCACAGTGACTCCGTGACACCATAGCAAGGCATGTGTGTAGCACCTGTGCCCATGGGGCCCATGATGCCACCCCATGGGCCAGCCATACTGTGGGAACTTCTGCCCCATCTCCTGCTCAGCTTCCATGCGTTTCCATCTTCAGAGCAAAGTTGGGGTACCCACTTTGCCTCTGACAGGAGGTGATGCATGGCAGAGGTGGTGACCCAGGGACATGTTTCTGAAGGCCGGAGCCCGGAGTTCCAGGACCAGCGAGGGCTGTACCTCAGCCTGGGCCCATGGAGTGCTAAGAAGAGCATGAGATGTCGGCATTGCTGTGCAACTGTCCTGCGCTTACAGCCCCGACAGATCATACACACGCCACCCAGGCCATGGCTGAAATGTAGACGCTAGGAGTATGGGACAGAGATTCATCCCGGGGTACAGCCCAGGACCCCACCCACTCCCTCTCCAACCCCCTTTAGCCTTGGAGACAGTATGGCTAAGTTGCCAAGGCTAGACTTAGAATCCTTATGCCTCAGCCTCCCCATGCTCGGATGACAGGAGCAGGCCACCACATCTACACTTTGCTGAGACTTTTGTGCAAAGCAGAAAAACATGCAGGGCTGAGCTGCAGGACTCACTGGGCCCACAGGGCTGCCACCTTCTGCAGGTGGCACCTCAAAGCCCTGCCCCACCCATCCCAGCACTGTCCCTCCTGAGGGCTGCCTGCCAGGACTCTGGGAGGTACACAGCAGTGCACAGGCCGGGGTTGTCCTGAAACCTGGCACTTGCATAGACACAGCCACCTCTTCCCACAAAGACTTTCACAGCCTCAGCTTCTGTTCATGTTAATCTTTAATGTGCAAATAAATAGAAAAGGAGGGCTACATCCAATACAGCTGTGGGGGGCTCAAGGCCCAAAAGAAACTCAAGGTAAGGGCGCTGAGGAGCATGCAGGGCAGGCTCCGGCTCCTCCCAGGCATCAGGGGCCAATGGGGTATTGCAGGAGCCGGGCGAGCACCAGGCAGGCACAGCTCTGCAGGGGGGCTGCCCTCAGGGCCCAGGCCCCAATCCTGATCCAGGCTCTGGGGACAGTGACAGCTGGGCACCCTGTCCCCTGCAGTAGAGGCCAGGAAGCTGGGCCAGAGCTGTTCAGGTTGCAGCCGTAGATATGACGGGCAGGAACATGTGCTCAGGGCAGGGGCGTTGCCTGTCGCCCCAGGGTCCCTGCAGTGATGATGCAGTGGGCCAGGCTGGGTCCAGGACCCAGTGCTCAGGGTGAGGCGGGCCTGCGGCTGTACTGCACGCGGTAGCGGGTGACGGGCAACCCATGCACAGTGGCCGTCTCACACAGCGTCTTGCAAGGCACCATGTCCTCATCCTCCTCACCCATCAGCCAGTCCTGCACCAGCCCAGCCGCCTCCCCAGTCACGTGGTCCTCCAGCCAGCGTCCGTGCCATGCCCCGAAATGCCGGTGGTGGCGCAGTAGAACCAGGGGCTGAACCTGCAGGGGCAGGGGGCAGGCAAGGCTCCCAGGCTGGGACTCGGGGTACCAGGGTTTGGGGGCTCAGGTGGTGTTCCCTGGACTGGAGCTCGAGGTCCCAGAGTGTGGGGTTTGGGGGCTCAGGCTGGGCTCCCTGGGCTGGGGATTGGGGTTCTGGGGTATAGGGTTTATGGGCTCAGGCAGTGCTCCCTGGGCTGGAGTTTAGAGTCCTGGTGTATGGGGTTTGGGGGCTCAGGTGGGGCTCCCAAGGCCAGGGCTTGGGGTCCTGGGGTTTTGGGGCTCAGACAGGGCTCCCTGGACTAGAGCTCTTGGTCCCAGGGTTTGGGGGCTCAGGGTCCTGGGGTTTGGTGGCTCAGGCGGGGCTCCCTGGTCTGGGGCTCTGGGTCCCAGGATTTGGGGGTTCAGGCAGGGCTCCCAGGCCAGGACTTAGGGTCCTAAGGTGTAGGGTTTGGGAACTCAGTGGGGCTCCCAGGCAGAGCTCCTACCTGCTTGGCGCGGCCTAGTGTGCCACGGCGGTACATGTAGTCCTCGGAGTTGACGATAAAGAGCATCTTGTGCGAACTCAGCTTGAATCGGCAATCAACATCACACGCACTCTCCACGCCCAGCAGCCGCCGCCAGGGTCCCGCCACCTCCCCTCGCAGGGCTCGCACCTGCTCGCTCTGCCAGCGCCGGAACTTGCGCAGGTTCCTGGGCACCGGGCGCAGAGGGAAGGGACAGAAGGAACCAGGACATCTGGGCCACAGGCCCAGCCCACACCCACATCACGTGGAGCACAACAGCCCACCCGCCTCACCTCTGCAGGAATACCGGCTTCAGCAGGAAGCCCTCGGCAGGCGAGGCCTCAGTGCCCTCAGTGCCCATGTACTGCTCCACGTAGCGGGCCAAGTGCTGCAGAGAGTACGTAGCCACATTGTCGTTCCCCTAAGCCCGGAGGCGCAGCAACCCAGGACAGCCATACACAGCCCACAAACCAGCTGCATTGCCACCCTTTGGGCCATCATGGAGGGACTGGGCCATAAGCAGGAGGAAAGCAGAGGCCGGGCCTAGGGTACAGCCACTGGAGGTTGAGGCAGGAAGAGTCCCAGCCTGATCCGGCAGCCTCAGGGCTCAGCCTTGGTTACTCTGGCTGTGTAAGGCTAGAGGCCAAGCACAGGGCCTGGCGCTCGGAAGTGGGACCAACCTCAAGACATAAGTGCAAAAGGGGAGGGGTTGAAGGTGGGGGTGCTTCCCAGGGGTCCAGTAAAGGACAAAGCATGCAGCCAGTCACCGATTCTCCTCCCAGGGACGCTGAGACTGCACCAGGCTCCACCCCCAACCCCCACCCTTTTCATTGCAAGTCAAGGTCTCCAAAGTTGTCCACACTGAACTTGTGACCCTCCCGCCTCAGCCTCCCAGAGTACCAGGGCCAAAGCCACAGCCCTGGCTGCCTAAGCTCAGACTGGGGCACAGGGGTGTCAACAGTGCAAAGCGATCTCACTGCTCCTGAGTTGGGGGTCCAGCAACCAGTCCTAGCCTCACAGAACATGGCTCCCAGAGGCCCCAGCCAGGATGAGGCCACCAAGGATGAGGCCACCGAGGACGAGGCCCTGGGACCCAGCATGGCCTGCATCGCACCTGCACCTCCACAGGGTCCTCAGTCTGCGCCTCCTCAGTGTCCAGCAGCTCAATGGTCATGATCACCTGGCCCTTGCGCTGTAGGAACATCACCTGGAAAGCGGGAGGGGGTTCAGGCTGGGCAGGGGAAGGGTGAGAGGAATGGGGGAGGGGCTACCCCACCACCACCTTAAAGCAGTTTTCGTCGGCCATGCAGCGCTCCGCTTTCCACTGGTAGCTAGTCTCACGGGCAGCACGCACGCAGCGGGAGGACAGGTTCCCACCAGCCGCGCCACGCCGCTTCTCGTTCAGGTACAGCTCGGCCACCTTCAGGCACAGGTCGTCGCTCACCAGGTGGTGCAGCTGTGGGCACAGGGTGGGCTGAGGGCATGTGGAGGCTGTGCTGCGCTGGACTAGACCGAACCAGACTGGACGGGAGCCAATTGGACCCCAACTGGCTCAGGCCTGCCAGAACAAGTCCAGGCCGCCCAAAACTAGTTCAGACTGCCCTGTGCCCATTCAGATCAAAACAAATCTGATCAAAACATGTGAACCCAGGGGCACACAGGCCAGCACCCCAGGTCCCAGAGAAGGAGGATGGCTGTATGTCATCACTGGTGCCAGGAGGGGGTTCAGGGGTCCCCAGTGGGGCACGGGAGACTGGAGGGAGCCAGCTCTGAAGACAGTGCCCTTGCCAGGGGCCACACCAGTCTCCTGCACCTCAGGTCCTATAACCCAGCATAGCATGCAGGCTGAGTCACCCCAGAGCGCACACTGATGCTCAGGGCAGCTCCATCTCCGGCTCCCTGAGGAACTGACATAGCCACAGCAAGGCCCAGGACAGCCAAGTACTACTCAGGCCTGAAGAGGGAGGTGGTGCCAGCCCAGACCACCTGTGGCCAAGGCCTGGATACACGGTGCCAAGTGACAGCTGCCCAACATGGAAGCACCCTCCCAGAACCCCCCCCCCCAGGGAGAAGTTCAGACCCACAAAGCCAATGCAAGATGGGGACATGGGCAGGCGGCTGGGTCTCACTCGGAGGGGCACTGGGCCAGGGGTGGTGGTGTCTGCCCAGACAGAGGCACAGTTGGATGTCCTAATTCCTGTCAGGTCCTCAGCCTCCTACACCTGGGCTATGTCCGTTTCTGGGGGTCTGCACGGTAAGGAGGGTGGCTTAGGTTGGAGTATGGGTGACTGGAACTCAGGACCCTGCTCAATGCCTCTCATGAGCTGTAACAGTTCCGCCGGACATACGCAGCTCCCAGCGCAGCCATCACAAGGAAGACAGAAGGCTTTGATGCCAGAGCATTGTGGACACAGGAGTTTTGGATCTGGATGCTCAGAATGTTCCAGAACTGGTTACTTCTGAAAGGACCCTGGGGGAACTGGACCCTTTGCACTTAGCTATACTCCAACCTCTTTAAATTTTGGAAACAAGGATCTCACTGAGCTGCCAGGATGGGCTCAACTTTGTGATCTTCCTGCCTCAGCCTCCAAAAGTGCAGGGGAACACAAGTGTGTTCTCCTATGCCCTGCTCCCATGGTCCAGTACACATCAGAATTTCATCAGTGTTTGAAAGGAGTGGTCAGCGGTCAGCTTGCCAACTGGGTGCCTCCTGGGCAGGGGCAGGGTGAGATCTCCCGGCCTGGCACCCCCTTACCTGGCGCGTGATGTTCTGCACCAGCTTGTCCATGGTGAAGCCTATGTAGGCGTGGATGGTGAACATCTCCCGTAGTGTGTCCTCATACTGTGTGGGGTCAATGCTGCCCTCCAGCAGGCCACGCACCATGTCCAGGAAGGCAGGGTAGTACTCCTCTAGCTCTACCTCGCCTGTGTACCAGCAAGCAGGCTCAGTGAGTGGCGATGGTGGACCTGGACCCTGTAGGCCTAAGCACAGCACCCTCCCTGGGGACTGGTGGTAGGCACTTGTACTGTCCAGAGGGCATGGAAGGCATACATTGCAACTGAGGTGACCTGGCCTCCCCCACACCCCAGATGTGCAGAGAGGGCCCGAGGGGGCTGCAGTCCAGACCAGTGTGGCCAACCCTCCTGCTCTCCACTGTCTCCCCAGCCCAGAGGCATTCTGTGCCCAGCATGTACCCCACCCTTCCTGGTTTTCTGGGATAGGTCCTGCTACACAGTTCTGGCAGCCCCAGGCTCCCTCTTGCAGTGATCCTCCTGCCTCAGCCTCCTGAGTGCTGGGATTACCGGGATAATTTCTCCTGCCTCAGCCTCCTGAGTGCTGGGATTACCGGGATAATTCCCCGTCTCCTCGTCCTGCCCTTGAGCTGGAATTTCCTGTTGGTTTTTTTTTTTTTGTCTTTTTCCTTTTTATCGGTACCAGGGATAGAACTCACGACTGCCTGCTCGCAAGGCAGGCGCTTATGCCGCTGAGCTAAATCCCCAGCCCGAGCTGGAATTTCCTAAACTCCCCAGGCCAAGATGGACCTGGGCCCCACCCACATCAGCCAGGCAGAGCTGCGTGCGATGCCCAGCGCCAGCGTGTCCTCCCGTCCCCGACTCCCTATCACCCCAGCCCACAGCAGGGGTTGTGGTGGCACATACTGGGCTGCTTTAGGCGCAGCTCCATAGCTGGGTCCCCGCCCTTTTCGCGCCGGCCTCCACGCAGCAGTGTCTCGCGCTCCTTCTCACTGCGGTGCTCCAGCAGCTGCTTTTGCGCCTGCCGGTAAATGCGCAGCAGCCGCGCACACAGTGTCTGGTGCAGCCGCAGGAAGAAATACCAGTTGTTGTTGGCAAAGAACAGGCTGTACACGTCATCCAGCACCTGGGGCGGTGGCAGCAGCGGTTCAGGGGCTGGAGCATCCCCCAGGGACACCTTGTCCCTGTCCTTGTCCTCGGAGGCACCGCCCTGCAGCGCAGGCCCTGACTTCTTCCGCTGGCTGCCCCCACTGCTGGAGTCTGTAGCTGGGCTGCCCTCGTCAGCCACATCAGGCTCGGGCAGTGGCGGCGGCTGCTGCTGGGAGAAGAGGCCAGGCAGGAAGCGGCGCAGCAGCTGCTGGATAGTGGCCTGGTCCTCCTTCTGGATGGCCGGCTGCCGTGCCACATAGTAGCTGATGAGTGCCGCCGCATCCTCCAGGATCTGCCGGTCTTCATACACAAAGATGAGGTGCGGTTCGCTAGCCGGTGCGCTGCGGCCTTCTGAGTGCTGCTCCTGGTGCTGTGAGGTGCAGCTGGTCACTAGGAGGCCCAGTCCAGCCACCCAATCCACCTGCCCCCACCCACAGGGGTCCCCGACCCACAAAGAGGTTGCCCTGGGTATGGGTAATATGGCAGGCTCAGGGGGCAACATCCCACAGGCAGGAAGCCGGGGCCTTGGACCTCTGGGTCGGCTCCCCTCTCCCAGGGGCACAGGGCCCCTGCCTCATTAAATCCCTGTACCACCTGTCACCCCGGCCCGGGGAGGTGAGGCAAGGTGAGGGGGCCTCAGCCTGAGTGAGGTCACGAAACCCTCCAGGGAACACAGGCACTGGGCCTGAGTGGTCCTGCAGGCTGTTCCGTGTCCCAAGGGGCAACGGTGCCCTGCCCTGGAGACAACCCCACACCGTCCCACCACGGCTGTCACCACTGCCAACCGGGGCCAAGCACCCTGCCCGTCTCACCAGGCACAGGGCGCCCACTCACCTCATCATACACGCTCTCGATCTCATTGAGCAGGCTCTTGGAGCGCAATGCCTTGGTGTCATTCTGCTTGAAGTTCACGGCCTGGTGGTCCAGTGACTTGAGGTAGGCCTTCTCGTACTGCTCACGCCAGATCTTGTTAAAGCCCTGCTGTGCCTCGCGCCACTCCTCCTCCTTGGCTTTCAGCCTGTGGGTGGGTGGGCAAGGGGCTCAGGGGGCCAGGGGCAAAGCAGGGTGAGACACATGAGGGACAGAGGGCACTGGCACCCTTCTCTGGGATGCTGAGGCAGAAGGATCTCCAGTTCAAGCCCATCCTGGGAACCTTACTGACTTAAGAGATGTGGAAGGGGGATGTAGCTCCAAGGGGAGGCCCGGGCACGAGCCCTAAATGTGCTCAGGTGCCTAGAGGTGGACAGGGTCTGTAGCCCCCCACCTGAAGCCCAAGGGCAGCACCCTTCATAGCCACCCTCCCAGGCTCCGGGACACCAGGACACAGCAGTGCCACCTGGTACTGCCCTGTGTAGAACCCACGCACAGAAACAGGACGGACCGTCAGACAGCAGCATAGGGGCCCCATCTGGGGATGCGTCCCGTCCAGTACTGGGGCAGGAGCCTGGGGCCTCTTGCATGAGAAGTGCTGACCATGGAGCGATCCTTCTGCCTCAGCCTCCAGGGTACCGAGGAGGCTCCACGCAGCAGCAGGCCCAGCCCACTTGTGTTTGAAGGAGCTACAACCAGCCCTGCTGTCTTAGGTTTCCAATCTGCAGATCCAACCAAATTGCTTTTGTTTTGTTTTTTGAAACAGGGTCTCCCTACACTGCCCAAATGAGCCTTGAACCCACAGTGTCCCTCCTGCCTCAGCCTCCCGGTGCTCAGATGACAGGCACGTGCCACCACACCCAGCTATGCAATCACAGGTTAAAGTCCCATCTGTGCTAAACATAGATGGCGCCGGTCCCAACCCCCAGACGCTGGGCAGCAGGGTACCCCAGGGGGCATGGGCACCTCTTCAGGACGACAGGCACGGCAGCCACAGGGCTTTTCTTGAGGCTCTCAATGATCTCAGGTGCCTTGTCGCCGTAGATGCGGTGGATGGCGCGTCGCTGGATCACCTCGGATGTGCCGCCCAGCGCATCGTCCAGCCGAAAGCGCTCCTGGTCCTCAGGCGCCATTCGTGACAGCTTCTTCTGCACGCTCTCCAGCACTCGGATAGTGGCCAGGTTGGTCTCCAGGACCACGTCCAACTGCGGACCCAGGGAGGGAGTGTGTGGCAGGGTTGGTGTGGTGACACTTAACTCAGTGCAAGGACCACTGCCCCCCCCCCCACAAACTCACATGATTCTGCTGGCTCTGCCCCACTCTCTGGCCTGTGCCAGGCCCCAGCCTTGGACCTTGGGCTTCTGGGTCTCCAGAACCAGGAGTCCAGGTGCCACTGTTCCCGATCAGTCAACCCCATGAGCATGTGGCCAGGCACAGCTGCGATCTCAGCCTCCAGATGGCTGAGGCAGAGATCTGGGCCCTTCCTGGGCAAGTTGGAGGCTCAGTGAGACCCTGTCCCTGAGCTGTGAAGTACACTGGTGGGCATCACGGAGTCAACACCGTGGCTGTGACTCTGTGCTGGAATTTTACTTATTTTGTCTGAGACAGAGTATTGTACATAGCTCAGCCTGGCCTTAAACGCATGGCAACCCCCTGCCTCAGTCCCCCAGGTGCTGGGGTTACCTGTCCCCACCACATCCAGCTTGTGCTTATTTTATGTGACATCACTGCTCCTAGATAATGCTCCTAGGAGACCTAGGACTCAGATACATTTTATGCTGTTCATAATTGATACTTCAAAGGTTCAACGAGCAGAAATAAAGCTTAATTCGAGCTATGCTTTTTGTAGTATCTAGAATTAAACTCAGGTCCTCTCGCCCACTAAGCAGGGCTCACCACTGAGCTACACCCTGTTCTTTTTTTAAAATGTTTTTAAATTTGAGACAGGGTCTTGCTAAGTGGAGCAGGCTTCCCCTTGACCTGTGATTCTCCTGCCTCAGTCTCCTGAGTAGCTGGGATAACAGGTGAGCAACATTGTGCCCGATCACTACACTGGATGGCAGACAGGCCATCATGTGCTGTGGTCCCGCTCATCCTGGGGCCAGGTGCACACCTCAAACCGCTCGTCCTCACAGCGGTGTAGCTGCTCCTCATATGGTGTCTTCTTGGAGCTGACAAAGGTGGAGTCCTCGGACCAGGAGGGGAAGGAGACCCAGGTGTCGTTCAGCACCTACACAGGGAACGGACACAGGCACTTTGGGGTCTCCCCACCTCACGGGCTGCTGCTACCTGGTCACACACACAGGACATGAACTGTGGGGCTGTTCTGAGGGACACCATGCTGCCCATGCCCAGACCCTGGCAATGGAAACCTGGCTACATGGCCAGCTGGGCTTGGACAGGCAACTCCAGCCACAGGGCCACTCGCAGGCAGGGATCTACAACCACAGCAGCAGCTGCCCACCAACCCTGAACACTCACACGGCACCAAGCTGAGGTCAGGGACCCAAGGCCCAGGGCCCCACAGGGATCAATCCAGGTCCACAAGGCAAGGAAGCAGCCCGGCCCCACATCCCTGCCAGACTCCAGACAGAGCCACCCCCATTGCCATGGTCACCTCCTTGCAGATGGCCGTCCTCCCACTGCAGCGTGGCTGCTGGTAGGTCTTGGGCAGGGCGCGGTAGCTGGAGCCGATACGCTTGCAGGATGCATAGTCGATCTCTCGGCTCACACCATCCCCTGCACGCTCACCCAGCGGCGGTGCAAACGATAGCTCCTTCACCCCCAGGAAGGACTTGAACTGTGCAAAGAGCTCCGGGAACTTCCTAGGGGACCAGACATGAAGATCCTGGCATCGAAACCCACGTGGACCCCAGGGGCTGCTCCGGCCCGGCTTCGATGTGTACCAACACCATGCTGCCAGGTGAACAGGATGGGACTCAGCAGAGCTTGGGGCAAAATATCATATATAGAAAACACCCACCCGCTGAGCGCCAGGCATGGCAGCTCAGGGTGCTAAGGGCACTGTTGTGCCTCTCGTGTCCACAGGGCTATGGGGAGTTGCCCTTGAGCTACTACCCTGAGGCACTGAGGACAGCTCCTTTGGACCCACTATTCCACTCTGGCACTACTCACCCCAGAAATGGGCTGACAAGCTGCAGGAGCTCGGCCCCTGACACCAACTCTTGGTTGAAGAGGGCAATGCAGCGCAGAAAATTCTCATAGACCTCCTGGCTCTTCAGTACACGGCGTACCTGGGGGACAGGGTAGCACATTCCATGTGCCCGGCCAGCACAGCTACTCTCTGACCCCCAACACCCAGTGGCTCAGGTGGCTGTGGGGTGTGTCCTAGAGCCTTGCCTGGTCCCTGAGCTCCACCCCAGCCCAGGAACAGGATGGGGCTGAGGCCCCCAGGGTGGACAAGGGGAGGACTGAGCTTCACCTTGTCGAAGAAGGAGAATTCCTGCAAAGTCCCATATTTGCCCACAGCAGCCAGCGACAGGTCCTTGGTGCCCCGCAGCTTCACCTTCTTCTGTGAGAGGCGCAGGTCAGCGTCAGCACTGGGCAGAGCCAGGCAGGGTGGGTCGGCTCCCATAGCTCCCATGGCTCTGGGCCCCTTCCAGGCTGCCGCAGGCGGAGCTCACCTTGGCAGGCGCCGTCACAGGCCTCAGCAGGGAGGGCCGAGAGCGCTTCTTGCCATGCTCCAGTCCCTTCTCGTGCTCGCTCTTCGGGGCGCCACTCACCTCGCAGGGCCCGCCGCCCGTGAACTGCAGGGACTTGGGGTCAGGGGCGGGCCCCACCAGGCGGCCGCCCTGCAAGGACCAGGGCACAGCGAGGGCACAGCAACATGGGGTGGGTGGCGCCCACATCCCCACAGCGGCCCTGGCTCCCCCAGACCCTCCTACCACCCTGAACGTGGGGAGCTGCAGCCCAGGGACACAACACATAGACGGCACCAATATGACACTGTCGGGTGCCCACAGACCCCGAGGATGAGAGCCGAAAGAACAAAAGGCCATGGCATGGGGCCAACAGGACACCGTCTGTCCCCTAATACATAAGTCTCTGGACCAATGTGGTGGCATTCGCCTGGTACCCCCCCACTCTGGAAGGCTAAGGTGGGAGGATCACAAAGTAGGCAACTGGACAACTCAACAAGACCCGAGAAACAAAAGGTGGGGAGCACACTGCAGGTACCAGGCATACAGAGGCCAGGCTGTGGACCCCAGCCAGGGCACAGCCAACGAGGATCGAGGTACATGGGACAGCAGACAGCAGCCTCCCAGATACATGCACCACCGCAGCTGCTCCCAGCCCCAGGGAAGGAAGCTGAGGCCCGACCTTCGCACTCCCCTGCCCTCGGCCACCCTCCTCACCTCTGCTCGAGCAGCTGCAGTTACCCTGAGACAGGTCTCACTGCAGCCCAGGCCAGCGTGGTGGACAGAGGCACAGGCGTTCCTGGCCAGCTGTTGAACACTGGTGAGGGGGTATGCAGCCCCAGGAACCTGCAGCTCCACACAGATCCCACCACCCTGTGTAGGCTGGGGTGGCCCCAGAGCCCCCACCCCCACCCCACACCTGCCTGGGATAGAGGAGTCCGGACTGACCAGAACAATGCCTGCCCAGGCGCTCAGGGCGCCATCGCCTGGCCCTGGTGAGAAGCCAGCACTGCCAGCCCCGTCCTGCCGGGGACGGTGACACATAGGCACCCCAAAGGCCTCACCCGCTCCCACGTGCCACCTGTCACCCTCAGATGAAGAAGACACAGAGCAGACCACAAACCACGACAGCAGGGGCAGGAGCAGCAGGGCCGGCGCAGGTCACCTTCCAGGGCCAACAACTCATCAGCACAGCAAGGACACAGGGAAACCCACACTGCCCAGCATTCAAGGACAGGAAGCTGTGTCAGGCCGGCCCAAAAGCAGAGCCCTACAGTCAGAACTAGGGCTTGCAGACCACCCTGCCCAGCCTGGGGACGATGGTGTCTCCTCCAGGACCCACCCCCTCCACATACACATTCACCAGAGAACTGAGGAGGGGCGCGGTGGTGCCCATGCCAGCACTACTGAGGCTGAGGCAGGAGGATCTCGAGTTCTAGGCCACCCTGAGCAGCTAACTGGCTCCCTGGTGAGATCCCACCTCAAAATAAAACCTGAAAGGGCCAACGGCGGTAGAGCCCTGGGTGAAGGCCCCGCACTGGGAGCCACTGTTTAACCCTGGCCTCAGAGCTGGGCTTCACAGGGCTCCAGGGGCAAGCAGCACTACATGGCCTCCATGGCACCTCACATCCACCCGAAAGCAGGAGCAAGGCAGGGACCGAGGTCATGAACTCCGCCAATGCCAGCCACTTCAGCGCACCTCGCAGCACAGTACAGAGAGGGGCACACGGGGCAGAGGGGAAATCACACCGGGCGCTGCAGGAAGCTTCAGGACTCAGCAAGGACGGGATGTGGGGAGCAGGAGACAGCCTAGGGCTCAGGAGCTAGAGCAGCCAGAAACACAGCATGCACGAGCACGCGCACGCGCGCGCACACACACACACACACACACACACACACACACACACACACGCATCGTGGCCAGGACATGGGCATGGTGGGTCCTGCACAGCTGTGTAGCAGTACAGCTGCCATGGAAAGTAGGTCGGGTGCCTGTATGCCAGCATTTTACACACCCGCGCGCACACACACACACACACACACACACACGTACGCGTGTGCATTCACCTAAGCTCCAGCAGCTCCTGAAAGGTGGGCAGTGGTCAGGGCTGGAATTGGTGTTCAGAGGAGCACAGGACACAGTAGTGCCCCTGGCAGCAGCCAGAAGACCCGACAGTCATCGGGAGAACCCATACCCACACACAGGGTCCATTGGCACAGTGGCCTATTACTTGGCCATGAAGTGCAACCGGGCTGACACAGCTACAACTGTACGATCCTCAAGATTACGACACTGAGCAGCAGTGGCCAGTCACACACGGCCACCCCATGGGGTCAGGAAGCCAATGGGGCTCCCGCGGCTGGGGTTCCCTTGGCAGCCAGCCAGTGCCCCAAAGCTCCACAGAGGTGATGGCCTTATGGTGCTTGGGCACAGAGAGTTCCAAGACATCAAGTTAATCACACCTCTGCTTTTCCAGGAAGCTTCAGGCCCGGCAGAAGGCGGGACAGGGAAAGCAGGGCACCAGCCACAGTGGATGGGGGTGGGGTGGGGGTACCCAGGCCACACAAATGCACCTGCTGCCCTCCCACACCCTGAGACTCACCAGTGAGCGCTTGGCCTCAGGCAGGAACTGGCCAAACTCGGACAGCAGGTCCTCCTGGCCGCGGAAGAGGGAGGCCACCTCAGTGAAGACCTCCTCCTCTGACATGCCCCGGAATGGGCGGCCCTTGGTGTGCAGCTGCTCCTTCTGTGGGGTAATGGGGGTGCATGAGGCCAGGGTGGGTAGGGGGACAAGTGCAAGGCGGGGCAGGGACCACAGCAGTCTGACATGGGCACGCGTGCCAGGAACCCCTCACTCTGCCCAGGACACACCAAGATCATACAGATTCGGGAGCAGCCCTGCAGCCTGAACCTAGGGCCATCAGGCTGACCTGCCAGCCCCATACCTCCTTATTCTGGGACTAGGCTTGAACATTTGACCTTCCTGCCTTAGCCTCCCATAGTGCTAGGATGACAGGCCTGAGTCCAGCTAGATTTCATTTTTAAGAGAGAGCTCAAAGACACAATGACAGCCATTGTTGACTTTCCTGTTGTCTAATCTTGACCTAAAATGCCTTCTTCATCTTGTTCAGATCAGTTCTATACTATGCTGTTTCATGTGAATTCTATGTATGTGAAGATATGGTCAACTATTTGGAAGAAAACAGACAATATGATAAGACAGTGAAGATCTCTGTCTTGCTTTGAAATTTACGTCTCTTACATTGCTTTCTTATGTTCTCTTTTGTTCTGTTCTATTGTGTTCGATTTTACTCTCTTTAAAATAAAAAAATAGAGAGCTCACACTGGGTGTGGTGGCTGCACTCATCATCCCAGCTACTCAGGACACTGAGGCAGGAGGATTGAAAGTTCCAGGCCAGCCTAGGCACCTCAGCAAGCCGCTGTTTCAAAATAGACACTGTAAAGAGCTGGGCACCTGGGCGCACACCTGTGATCCCAGCCTTAGGGGAGGCCGATGCAGGAGGATCACAAGTTCCAGCCTGGCCTGGGCAACAAGCAAGATCTGGGCCCCAACCTAAGTAAAACAGAGGCCTGGGACATAGGCCAGGGCCCACCTGGTAGGTGTGCAGAATCTCCAGGAAGGAGCGGTAGATCTCTGGGTGGTCCAGGAAGCGAGTCTTGATCTTGTTCACGTAGCTGATGGCGTTGTTGAACTCCACCGAGTCAGCCTCTAGTGGCGCCATGGCCTTGTCCTCTTTGTTTGGCACCTGCTTCAAATCCTCCACGCAGTCACCATGGCCGTGCACGTTCTCCTGACAACCAGCAGGGACAGGCAGTCAGCGCCGGATGGCACAGCGGATCCACTTTCCCTGTGGGCTCCCCAGCCCCGTCCCAGGCCCTGCTCCTTTATTATTTTCTGACAAGGTCTCCACAAGCTGTCCACGCTGGGCTTGAACCTGCGATCCTCCTGCACGGCTGGGACTGCAGGCCTGTACCACCGTGCTCCCCTGCAAGTTTGGTTTCTCGAATTAAATGTGGAACTGGTTTTTTCTGGGGCTTAGAGGGCAGAGCGGGCTGCCCAGTCCACCCTGTGTATCCACTAAATCCACTCCCCCCCCCCCCCCGGTTCCCCAGTCTCCTCGGGGCACAGCCAGCCCTTTGCACAGTGACCTTGCCCTTGCCCTGACCACCTCCAATTGGGAAACTGTCACATCACCAGGCCCCTACACAGCCTCACTGTCCCTGACAGCTGCCCAAGGTCTCAAAAGGCCGGCTCCAGACCCCTCCCACACAACAGCCAGGGCACTGGGCCCAAGACAGGGTGCACACGGCCACAATGGACGCCCTCCCTCCCCCAACCAGAGCTGCCACTGTGTCCCTGAGAATGGTGACAGAAAGACAGTGCCTGGTAGTGGCTCCAAGCAGCACCAGAAATAAAATGACATAAAATGCAAAACGCTGTCCCTGCCCACACACAGGCCAGCACAGCCAGGCTTGAGGGCCAGTGTGGTGGAGCCCAACATAGCTCTGATCCTTCAACTCCATCTGAGGGACAGCAGCACTGCTCATGGCCAGGGACAGCCTGGCTCTAAGGGGGCTGGGAGAGGTGTGCTCCACAAGCAGGTACTCAAGGATGCTGAGGCAGGAGGGTTGCACATTGCAGCCCGGCCTAAGAAACCTAGGGAGACTATCTCAGAAAAGGGCCGAGGGCGGGGCTCAGTGCAAAGGTCTTAGGTTCAGTCCCCAGTAGTGCAAGACACAAAGCAAACAAATGGAGCTCAGCATAGCCCACGTGGCTGATCCTTCAAACCATGGGGTGATGGGGGCAATTCGGGCCGCAGACCTCGAGGGGCATGTGCAGCCACAGGATGGGTTGTTTTGGAGAAAGTAGAACATCTGGGATCAGTGGTGGCAGCCACAGCACACTGGGAAGACCCTGACTGCCAGGAGAGGCATCTGCCCATGGCCCTGTGTGTTCAGGTGACCTCAGATTTTATCTTTTTTTGGTACCAGTACTCAAACTCAGGACCTTGCATTAGTCAGGCAGGCACCATGCCACTGAGCTGCACCCACAGTGATCCTAGATCTCAAACAGCATTTAACAGCATCAAGGGTGGTACAGGAACCCAGCACGCAGAGCTAGCAGCTGCCTGGGGACCTCTTGGGACAGTGTAGCTTCAGTCTCCATCCTCCTCCAGCGATGTCACTTGGCCCTAGGGGAGGGGTCACCTCCCCCAGCACCTCTCTCACAGGAGGCTGTCACCAATCCGTCCTGCATCTCTGCTCACAGCTGCTCCTGCATCCTGACCTCATCCAGGATGTCCCCCCACCCCACCTCTGGCTCCCCAGCTGGGGTCCCCAGGCAGGGATGCATCCAGCCCGCCACATCCTGGTGACAGCACATGGGTCCCTCAAGGCCTCAGCCTGCCTGCTGTTTTGCTTTTTCTCTTGTGGCACTGAGGACGGAAGCCAGGGCCTCCATAGTGAACCACACTGAGGCCTTTTTCCTTCAGACCCTCGCCCAAGTTGCCTGGAATCCACAACCCTCCTGTATCACCCCAGGGTGCTGCGACAACAGAAGTGCACCACCCCACCACCTTCTGCCTCCTCTTCCTACCCAAGTCAGCTCTGGGACTGCAGGCCACAAATGGGTGTCCATGGGTCACCAGACAGCAGTGACATGGGAGCTGAGCTCCAGCTCTGTCTGCTCTATTCCCTGTGTAGTTAAGAGACAGACCCCAGGCCTTCACACTGAGCTCCAGGCCCAGCTCTCTTCACTGTACCTTTGGAAACAGGATTCACACTAAACTGTTGAATCTGGGACTCTCCTGCTTCAGCTTCCTGAGGGCCAGGATTACAGGCATGTGCTATTTTGAATGGCTGAACCCAGGGTGGTGTGATGGTGACCTGAGCAGGGGTGGGACATCTCAGGAGCTGCAGTTACAATGGAGGCCGGCATTGGCTACCTTTCCCAGCTCCCCGGTCCTTACTGGCTGGTGCCATGTCTGCTCCTTGACCCCAGGCACTTGGTGTTCTGCCCAGGGACACTTGGTGACATGGTAAGCCTCGGCCCCACCTTCCACCCTAGCCCCCAGGGCCACCTTCTCCCATCCTAGCTGCAGAGGTCCAGAGAACAAGGGAGCCACAGCTGAAATCATGAAGCCAGAAAACATGTCCGGAGTCCCTACCTCCTCATGCGGGTGAGGGGACCTTACTGGGCTTCCAAGGCATCTGGCACCCCAAGGGCACTGCCCAATGTGGGGTGTGGTGGCCAATGGGTCAGTCCCTGGGGTCCTCCAGCACCACAAGGAAAAATCCCAGGTGGCCCTTGGCCACCCTCAGGGTCAGCCTGTGGGGCATCCGGGCTGGTCTCCCAGCCCAACCTTGAGCACGGAAGCCCCTGGAGGCTAGGGGCTGCAAGGCCACTTCCGTCCCACACCTCAGAAGCTGCAGAAGCTGCCAGGCTCCCGGGGGTTTGGGGTCAGAGACCTGCATTCCTACAGCAGGGCTGCCTGGCCTCATGCCTGGCATGCAGGAGGGGAGAGTGCATCTGTCCCAAGCCTTCCTGGTTCCTCTGTGCACCCAGCTCCCTGCTCCTTCTCTTCTTCCCCCTCCTCCTTCCTTTCCTCCATTTCCTGGAAGGAGATGCCTCAGTGTCCCTGCTAGGGCTCCCACATGCCCTGCTGCACTTGTGGGTCACTCAGACAGGTCTGCAACACAAGCAGCACTGTCTGCGGTCACTGCCCAACAATCCAGCCGCTGGGAGCTGAGAGTGCTGCTATGGGTACCATAAGGTGCTAGGCAGCCCCATCCCCCACAGGGAAGAACCAGGGCTGAAGACAGCTGCGCTGATACAGATGGCACCCAGTCACACCCCAAAGCACTTCTGCTGGGGGGGTATCTGGGGAGCATCAGAGGGACACAGCAGCGGACAGGGCAGCAGGCCATCACCCCAAAAGGAAAGCATGGAAAGTCTAAGCCTGGGTTGAGCCCACAACCCCAGCAATGCCAACCGCAAAGCTTCCCACACCCATGGCTCAACCATGGCATCTAGCAGGCTCCTGGGGGTGCCTCGAATCCACACCCCAGGCCTCCTGTGCGTGTCTTCATGCACCGGCTGGAGAGGCAGAGGCTTCCCTTGTGACGATGTCTGCTCTGGCTTGTGCTGCTCTAGTGAAGCAACAGAGCCTACACTTTGGCTTCCCACAATGACGTGCAGGGGATGTGCCAGGCCCGAGACTGGAACCACCATACCTGGCCCGACAGAGGTGACTGCATGTTTATTCGGCTGTTCCTCGGGATGTCGATTCTATACCCGAGGGGCAGGAAGGCGTTAAATCCCACAATGAGGTCAGGGTGCTCGTGGAAGAGCTGGGACACACGTCTGATGACTCCGGGAGTGTCGATGCTGCAAGGGAGAGACCTCGAGTGGGCGAGAGGGGTGGCCAGCGGAGTGGACCCCCTCCCAATGCCTCCACACCACAACCACATGCATCTAACAGGGGAGCAGAGGGCTCATCCACCTTCTGCATCCCAATGCCAGGCCTGGACCCCAGGCCCTCTGGGAAGAAATGAAGAACTTTCACAAGGCACAGCTCCCCCAGGCACTCTGCTCATGCTTGGAAAACTCAACACATAACGACAGACCGCAGGTCTTCCTAAAGCGTGGGACCTGAGGGCCTCATTTCTGCCAAGGAGGTAGATCCCTAAAATCTACTTCGAGGTCCAGTGAGTTTCCCATAAAAAACAAAGGCCCATCCCAGGCACCTTCCCACCTCTAGCCTAAAAAACAGGCCATGAATAATAATGCTTTCCACCTTACTAAGCATTTTGTGTCCCTTCCAAGCAGGACTGAGATTAGGGGGCACCAGGAGAGGCACCTGGAGAACAAGCCTTAAAGGGGAGACCACGCCAAAATGCAATCAATCAAGAGAAAAACCATTCTCACGCAGCGCTTTACAAAATGAAGCACAACAAAATCAAAATTAATTTCTCCAGATCTTCCATCAACAAAATTTCCATAACAGCCAACATTTTTGAGAAAGACAGGCCCCAGCTCAGTCTGCCTCCCATGGACCGCGGCCCTCTGCGAAGCAATGTCCACTGCAGCGCAAGGTGGGGACCAGGCACCCTGATTTCTCTAGGAAAAGCTGAGACTGGGACCAGGGTCAACCTCCTGCAAGGTCACCGGGGTGCAGGGGGCATCGGCAGAAGCTCGACCCACTGGGAAACGCCTGCCGGGGCGGGGCAGGGGTCCCGGGCCGGAAGGGTCCCCGCGGTCACCTTTGGCTCTTGAACTCCTTCATGATCTCCAGGAAGCCGTTGTAGGTGGCGGGATCGCTGCCGAAGCGGATCTTCACCTGGTCCAGGTAGGTGAGCGCGTCCTCCACCTGCGGGGGGCGGGGGCGCGGGTGGGCCGGGCAGAGGGTGAAACGGGGCGGGGTGGGGTCCGGAGCGGGCCCCGGAGGTCCGGAGAGGGCGCGGGGCGGGGTCAGGGCGCCCGGGGTCAAGGGTTCCGGGCTGCGCCCCAAGGGCTGGCTGAGGCAGGGCCGGGCGGGGCCGGGGTTCGCGTCTCCGGGCTGCGGGGCCGCGGGATTGGGTTTCGGGGAGCGGGGCGCCACTCACGTGCACTGGCAGCTTCTCGTGGCCCGCGGAGCCCGAGCGACCCCAGCGGGCACCGCCGAGCCCCCGGCCCGCGGGAACCCCGCCGCCAGCGTGCGCCATGTTGGAAGTGCAGCCACGGCGCCCCCGCCCCCGCGCGAGCCGGAACCGCGCATGTGCCGCCACGCTCTGTGGGCGAGGCCTGATGGTAGGGATGGGCGTGGCCTCTGGCGAAAATCGTCGCAAGTTCCTTGCTTCGAAGCTGGAATCCTAGATCTCGCGATTGACAGACCCAGGTTAGGCAGGGCAGAACCTGCTGCCAGCTTTTTCGGGCTGGCCGTGCAAGCTCTGGATAGTTTTCACAGATTTCACGTTGGCTGGGGAGAAAAATTCAAGCAGCATTTCGTGCCACATGAAAATTCTGAGAAATGCACATTTCAGTGTTAGTAGATGCATTTTATTGGTGTTTCTGTATTGAGCCTCTGGAGACAGCTGGTGGATCCCTGCTATAGGAGGTCGACGTGATAAGGGAGTATGGGCACCCCGTACAGGGCTCTGGGTGTGGTACTTCAGCCAATGGTCCTCCCCTTAGTCCTGCTGCTCTGACCTTCACTCTCTGTCTTTGACCGCATCTTTTCCTGGCTGGATCACTTCAGGAGCCCAGGGACCACCCAACCAAGGGCCCAACCTAGGTGGTGTGAAGTGGGAAAGGATCATTGTGGGTACATTTGTAATCCCACCACTTTGGGAGGCTGAGGTAGGAGGGTCACAAGTCTGAGTCTAGCCTGGGCAACCTAGCAAGTTAATTGGATCCCGTCTCAAATTAAAACAAAAACCAAGAAAGCCCCCCCCCCCAAAAAAAAAAGCCCTTTTAAAACAGGGAGGCTAAGCTGGGCGTGGTGGCTCACGCCTGTAATCCCAACACTTAGGAGGCTGGAGGTGGAAGGATCATTGAGAGTTCAAGACCAGCCTGGCCTACAAAGTGAGCTCAAGGGTAGCCTGAACTGCATAGCGAGACCCGTCTCAAAAAAGACAAAAAAAAAAAAAAAAAAAAAAAAACAGGGAGGCTGCTGGGGATGTAGCCCTGTGGGAAGAGCCTCGATTCAATCCTCAGTACCAAAAAGCGAAGCAAGGCAAAACAAAACACCAAATAGAAACAAAAACCCACAGAGAACATGTATGATTCCTTCATTACCCCCACGCCTCCAAGATCCTGTTTCAGCAGAGCTGAAATCTAATCACCCACTTGCAACATTGCAGGTCCTTGCAATCATTTTTGGGAGACTTTTCCAGCCAAGCCACTGCCCTCTGCTGTACGGAGCTTCCCACCACTGCCTGACATATGAGGCTCTTTGGCCACCAGAACTGTGCCCCCATCCCACTTCGTCATCCAGAGACACCGTCACTAGAAGCCCCCACCCACCTGCCACAGTTCCTTGCATATCACCCTGGTTTTGTGGTTCATCTCTAATGCAAATCCTGGTAACAGAGAGTCACACTAGCAGGTGTTTATCAAATACATGAACAGTCAATGAGTAACCCAGGGGTGGTGAAAAGTGGAAATACTAGCAGTGAGCTGACAGGGAATAAAATGCTGAACTCTGACATGGAGCTCGCCCACAGAGAACGCTCTTTCAGAATAGACAGGCATCAAATAATCAACACACAAATGTGAAATTTCACCTGTAACAAACACATCAGTGGCAAGAGATAATGCATTTCCTTTGTAGGTTTTATTTTTAAAATTTATGTTTTATTTTAGTTTATTAGTACATGCGTGTAGCACATAATGTTTATATTCCTCAAGGGAAGTTAATGTGTACATTTTTTGTACATTTTCAAGTCACCAAAAGAAGGTAGCCAGGTGGGTAGTGTATACCTGTAATCCCAGCAAGGGAAAGGCTGAGGGAAGAGGATCTCTGTGAATTCCAGGATGACCTGGGATACATAATTGACCAGCGCAGCTCCAATGAACAGGAGACAGGAGACGCTCTTGTGGACGACAGTTAACTGCTAGTTTATTTAGGTGGGCTCTGGTTTATATATTCGGCCGTGACCAATCACAGGCTGCCACAAGGAAGCAGGGCGGGAATGGGATGTAGGCTCCGGCTACTATATCCAGCTGTGGCCAATCAGGAGTTGCCACAGAGTATGGAGTGAGCACGAAGTGCACACGGGTTGGCTAATTTAAAGAGGGACGTAGCGCATTGCGGAAGCTGGCGTGGTCCTTAGTCCCGGGTGGGGTATGGTATGTTGAGCGCCTGCGCCCAACATCTCCCCCTTTCTTTATAACTGACGCAGGGTCTCCAGAGGTCGATGCCCCTCGTGAGGTGTCACGCTGCAGTCATGACAGTGCCTCACTACTCGTTGGTGCTCTTTTGGAGGGGGCGGGAAATCTGTTTTATGAGCCCAACCCGCGTGCTCGCCAACATGGGGACCGGGGTGTCTCCTGGCCAAGGACGACACCCCCTGCGATGCTTTGCTCCACACCTGCGTCACAGCATGGTGAGCCATGCTGCCGGGCTTTGACCAGATTCCATGATCAGCAATGCTTGTTTGATACTTTGTCCCTATTCCTTTGTCTGCGAATCCGACAGAGCAGAAGTAGACTGCCGAATGCGGCAAGTGTAGTTATGGTAGCCAGAGCCCCTGTTCCTGCCCATTCCTTTATGAAAGCCAATTGGAGAGTTGGCCCGAGCTGGATCACAGGAAACTCGTCTGAGTCCGCCATAACTGGAACCGGTGCGAACTGGAGTACCTGCATAACAACAGCTGAAAGTGTACTGTTATCCCAACATTATAACATACAACAGGTTGCGGTGGAGCAATTTAGAAAAGTAATTGGCTGCAAGGACCGTACGAGATGCAAGAAGGAGGGGAAAAGGAGGCTACTAACCAGGGGAGTTGGTCAAGGTGCCATAGTTAATGGGAGTTGTGGGTATACTTGCTTGGTCTGGCTTGTGAGGCTCCTGTTGGTTCCCCTGTTCTGTGGTTGACGTTTCCTCTGGGTCAGGGTCTGGTGGTTTGCAGGGACGTATCAGGCGTTCCGGGACCCAGACAGGTTCGCTGCCTTCTTCCTGCGGGAAGACACAGACCACCCCTCTCGCCCAACTAAGTACTGGACTGGGGCCTCTCCACACCCCATGCAGGAGGTCTTTCCAGCGTACCCAACCATGTTTGGGTGCGACAGGGTTGGCATGTAGCTGTGCTGGCGTGGATCCTTGTGGGTTGATGTTTACAAAATTGTAAGTGAAGAGGGCGAGATTTAGTCTGGCCCTAGGTGTCATGCCCTGGGCAATACCCTCCTTTTGTTTAAACAGAATAGACTTGAGGGTTTGATATGGCCTAACTTTAATTGCTCTTGAATAAGTTTGGATGCGGCTTCTGTTTTGTCTCGTGGTAGGGCCGTCAACAATGGCAAGCCCCAACTCCTGCCAAGTTAACGAACTATACCTGGTGCTGACCCAGAGCAGCTGTGAGCTGCTTAATGAGCAGCATGGCTGTCTCTGCGTCTCCAAAAATTCTCCCTGCTGCCTCCATCATGCGGGCCACAAAATCTGAAAAAGGCTCGCTCAGGCCCTGCAAAATTTTTTTCAAGTGGCCTGAGACTTCTCCCCTAGCCGAGACCCGTTTCCATGCTTGTATGGCTATTCTATTTATCTGTGCATACACCTCTTGTGGAAATCAGCTGGTTATTGAGATACTGCCCTTGTCCTAATAACATATCTACGTTCCAGGCGGCCTGATTGTTCTGGGCATTAGCTTGGGCCTGTTCTGTGGCAAGTTCAACATTCCAAGCTTTCCAATCAAGATATTGGCCTGGGCTGAGCACTGCTTTGCACAAACTGGCCCAATCAGCAGGTGTCATGGCATTTCCTGCCATGGCTTCTACTAGGGACAGGGTATATGCTCCATTAACACCGTACATGGTGCTGGCCTCCTTAAGATTCTTTATCACCTTCATATCTATAGGCAGGTGGGCTCTGTTTCCCTGAGCATCTACAGCAACCGGAAAAGCCTGGAGAAAACGGCCCAGGCCTCCTGGGTCCTCTCTTTTGACTTGATGCCAAAGGTCTTCCTGGAATGTCCCAGGGGACGTCTGGACCCGTTGCGGACAGCTACATAGCTGATGGCAGGGTCTCCGGTGAGCATGATAATCTGGCGGGTCGGGAGGTAGAGCTGTAGGACTTATACAGGGCGGCCCTGGGATCCCGTACTCACTTTCATTGACCCATTTACTCTGAGAAATCCTGCGTTGCAGCTCATTTATGGCCTCAGAGTAAGGCCCTCTCGACTGCGTGTGTGTGACTTCCCCTCTTTTGGTGGTGTCTGCATCCACCATTTTGTATACTTCTTCCTCCCCCTCATTATCTGACGAGTCCTTTGTTTCTGAGTTGGGTGAGGTCACCTCGCCTACGGCACTGGACTCACGAGATTGCTCGCGGGAGGATTCTGCCTGATGGTAATCAAGCGCCATGGCGCCAGCCCTTATATGGTCACGACAAGAGGTGTCTGCAAGGCAGCTTCTCACTACTGCCCAAAGGGGTCTGACTCCTGGCTCCAAGAGGCCATTTTCTGCTGCAAAGTCAAGATCTCTCCCTAATTTATCCCAGCTGGGGATGGTAATGGACCCCGTGGGACCAAACCAAGGTGCTACCTTATCGACCTGATCGAGGAAGTTTTGAATTTGTTCTTGTTTCATTTGTAATCCCTTTTCTCTCAGTAAGTCGCTTAAGGCGACTGACAGTGGCTGAGTAGCCGTGTTACCCATGTTAACCGGAATTTCAAGAGTTTCTTTTTATTTTTTTTTTTTTCCTTTTTTTTTTTTTTTTTTTTTTTTTTTTGTAACAGGGACAGCTTAGTCCCCGCGCCCCTTTACGGCGCCCCCAAAACCGGCCTCTTTACGGCCCCCGGAACTCTCTTTACGAGTTCCTGACCCTTGCGACGCGTCCGCCCAAGGTTGCCCGATAGCCCCCGCTATCCGGCCCTGCAGCCCCCGCTGCCTGTTGCGTAGCCCCCGCTACCAACGTTGAGCAGTTTAACCTGTCAGCCCCCGCCCGCCAAGTAGCCCCCGATATTGGCGCTTGACGGTTTTACCTGTTAACGCTCTGTTCCATCGGAGAGAGGGTCTCAGCTCTCCTCGTACTGTCGGAGAGAGGGTCTCAGTGCTCCGGGCCCCCCGTACGGGCCACCAGTTGACCGGCGCAGCTCCAATGAACAGGAGACAGGAGACGCTCTTGTGGACGACAGTTAACTGCTAGTTTATTTAGGTGGGCTCTGGTTTATATATTCGGCCGTGACCAATCACAGGCTGCCACAAGGAAGCAGGGCGGGAATGGGATGTAGGCTCTGGCTACTATATCCAGCTGTGGCCAATCAGGAGTTGCCACAGAGTATGGAGTGAGCACGAAGTGCACACGGGTTGGCTAATTTAAAGAGGGACGTAGCGCATTGCGGAAGCTGGCGTGGTCCTTAGTCCCAAGTGGGGTATGGTATGTTGAGCGCCTGCGCCCAACACATAATGAGGTCAAGGCCGGCAAGATGCTGTCTCAAAATGCAAAACAAAAACTGGAGTTCTGAGAGGTAGGGGGAGAAAGAGAGTGCAGGATAATGAAACAGCAGGCAGGGGATGAGTTAAGGCTTTTGGCCTTAGCATGGGTTTGGAGCAGACACTGCTTTCCCCATCGCTGCACTGCTTGCAAGGAAGGGGTTGGAGGAGCCAGGAGGTGCAGGGAGACTGTTTCATCACTTACGCAAAGCATGATGGGCGCTGGGTAACAGAGCGAGAGAAGGGGCAGGAAGCAGCCAGAATCCAAGGCTCCCTGCCCAGAAAGGGCCTGCACCCTGTCCTACCCATGGCTGCGTGGGAACCAGGTATTCTGCAGTCTGCAGTCGCTCTGCGCAGAGTGTGGTCGTAGGCAAGCACCAAAAGCGCATGCGCTATCAAGGCGGTGCAGGTGGGGTCGGTGCACAATGCCACCTCCCTCAGGGGTGCGGGTTCTGTTCCGATTTAAGCGTTCACTGGGTATGAAAATAAGATTCTTCGGTTGCTCTTTCTTGAGACAGCATTTAGCAAGTGGAAAAGAGGGGATTAAGCTAGGGGTGGAGGTGGCACCGGTTCCAGAGTGCTGGGGACCCTTCTAGCGATCCCAGGTTCTTCTCCTGAACAAAGAACTGGACAAAAAACCCACAAAAGATAGCGAGGTTTTACACTTATTAAGGAAAGGAAAGACACTTTGCAGGGCGAATGTGAGCCAACTGGAAGTGGAAGAAGCAAGGTCTTAAGAGTGAGCCACCAGCTGACAAACACAGAGGCCACACCTCCATCCTCAAGCTGACAGGGCCAGGCCAGCCTATCAGAGACCCGCTTGAGTACTCCCCAGAGCAACTCAAGATAGCACTCTCTGATTGGTTCCAGGAGCAGAGTTTGGATGCTTGTCTCCTGGATCTCTGTGATTGACAGGTCACACCTGCTTGGCCAGACAGCTTGGCCAAGCACTAATCTCCTGCCTCAAGGATGCCTGTCACAAGAGATATTCTGGAGGCTGAGGCAGGAGAATTGAAAGTTCATGCCTGCCTGGGTAATACATAACAAGACTTCAACTCAAAATAAGTCCAGTAAGTATAAAGGCTGAGGCGTGCTCAAGGTGTGCCTCAGTGGCAGAGCTCTTGCCTGTAGGACCCTGAAATCATCCCCAGCACTAAAAATAAAATGAAAGATTGAAAGGTCCCATTTGGAGGTTATGTAGTCCTCCCAGGTGATGAACTTTGTTTTTCTGGGTTTTGTTTTGTTTTGTTTTGTACCGGGGATTGAAGTCATGACCAGGCACTTACCAGGCAGGCACTTATGCCACTGAGTTAAATCCCTGGCCTACAGGTGATGAACTTTGAATCCCAAATTTCTGAAGTATGGAACTGTGCATCCCTGGGATCAAGACCTCCCTCCAGGTATGCACACTGGCTCAGCTTTCAGTCGCCATAGCAAGCATCCAGGGTAAATCAATTTACAGAGAAGAAAGGTGCATTTTGGCCAACAGGTCCGCAGCTCTGAGCCATGACTAGTTGGCCCTGTTGTTCTCACCGGCAGTGAGGAAGGGAGGGGGAGAGGAGCAGATCCCAGAACAGCTTCCGCTTGGGCCTGGGAACAAATAAGAGGAAGAGCCAGGGTATCACTAGGCCCCCCTGATAATCTCATTTCCTCCCAATAGACCCTGCCGCTTAAAGGTCCCGCCAGCTCTCAACAGCATCCTCAAACTGGGACCTGGCTCCTGGAGCGTGAAACTTTGGGGTACACACTGAACCGCCATCCAAACCATAGCAGGCACTCTGCTGGAAGAGGTGGGGGCACCCTGCTGGTACATTTAAGGTCCCAGGGGAGCTGATTTTAAGTTGATAAGCAAAGACAGTATGCCCAGTGGGCCTGGCCTAATCTGGCATCTAAAGAGCCTGGAAGTCAGGACAAGAAGAGACAGAAAAATGCTTTGAAGAAGGATCTGACTGTTTTGCAAACTGCCCAAGTAAGCAGGGCATGATGGCATACACTTGTCATAGCAGCACTCAGGAGGCTGAGACAGGTGAATCATGGCAAGTTTGAGGCCAGCCTGTGCTACATGGAGATATCTTGCCTCAGAAACAAAAATAAAAACAAAAAATTCTCAAGGAAAGGCAGTCCCCTGGGAGCTAAGCCCCTCATCCAAGGAGCTGGGTTCTGCCTGCAACCTGAAGGAGCTTCCGGCAGCCTCTGTACTTCTCAGTGAATGCCTGTGCAGCCGACCTGCACCCACCCTCAGTCCAGTTAAGCCCTGCCTTCAGGGTTTAGGGGATAAGTGCACGGGTTGTTGTTGGTGGTGGTGGTGGTGGTGTCGGTAGTGGTAGTAGGGTTTTGTGTGTTTGGTTTTTTGAGACAGGGCCTCACTATGTAGCTCAGGCTGACCTTGAACTCACTATGTAGTAATGCTACACTCAAACTTGTGACAATCTTCTTGCTTCAGCCTCCCAAGTGCTGGGATGACAAGCATGTGCCACCACATATGGCTGATAAGTGTATTTCATTGTAAGTGATTTGTTATGCAGAGATAAATTAGTACACCAGCTTGGTACACTGACACACATTTGTAATTGCAGTTACTCTGGCAGCTGAAGTGGGAGGATTTCAAGTTCCAGGTAAGTCTGGGAAACCTGGTGCCTTTGAAAGACCCTGTTTCTGTATAAAAAATAAAAAGGGTTGGGGATGCAACTCAGTGTAAAGACCCTGGAAGACAAAGGGTGGTGGTTACTTTTCTCATTGCTGAGATAAAATATTCAACACCCAGAGTCAAAGGAGGAAAAGTTTATTTGGCTCACAGATGGTAGAGGTTTCAGTCTATAGCTGGTTCCAAGGCAGAGGGGCATCACAGAGGAGAAACAGTTCATAGAGGGCAGAAGGCAGCAAAGCATCAGAGTAGTGAAGAAGCATCGGGGTAACAGCAGCCTTTCTGGCCCTGTAGTCTACCCAGGCTGCACACCCTTAGGGCAGGCAGCACTCACACCGAGTGGCCTCCCCATTATCTGCTCCCAGGACTATGCCAAACCAGCCGGTGGACTAAATCACACACCCTTGATGCTGGCATCACAGACTCTAGATCCAGAAATCTCTGAAAAGCCCCACTTATGACTGCAGGAGGTTATGGGCAGATGGCTAGATACAAACCATAACACAGAGAGACAGAGCCAGAGAACTAATATACCTATGAGATATCCTTATAAAATGCCAATCTGGAGCCAAGTGCAGTGGTGTATGCCTGTGATTCCAGCACTCTGGGAGGCTGAAGCAGGAGGATCTTGAATTGACCTCCAGGCTGGGCAACTTAGTGACTTAAAAGACTTTGTTTTACAATACAAAACATAAGGATCTGGGGATGCAGGTCAGGGCGAAGGCCCTGGGTTCAGTCTCAGTTGTGCAACAACCACTATGAAGTTTACCCAGGGACAGTGATTTGTCAGTGGCTGTTCTCTCATGATAACAACTCTCTCGCCCTGCGTGGTGGATGGCAGAGACAGCACGGATGTGGCATGGAGAATCTTTGTGCCTTCCATTCCATGAATCTAAAGCTGCTCTGTAAAAAAATGAAGTCTCTAGCCAGGTGTGGTGGCACAGGCCTGTAATCCCAGCACTTGGAAGGCTGAGGCAGGAGGATCATTGTGAGTTCGAGACCAGCCTGGGCTACAAAGTGAGCCCAAAGCCAGCCTGAACTTACATAGCAAGACCTTGTCTCAAAAAGACAAAACAAAACAAAAACCAAAGTCTATTTGAGAGCTTGTTTGGAGGTCCTCATGGGAGCACAGTCTCATATCCTTGGTGGGCTCCTCTTCAGCAGAGTGTGCAGCTCAGGAAATGGCGCATGAGGCATGGAAGAAGGGGACACCTGCCTGGCCAACACAAGCAGATCAACCTGGGCAATCAATGTAGTGACAGATGTCACAGCCCAGTCACCCACACACCCAAAGAAATGAAATCTACTTGAAAACAAATGTTCAAAAAAAAAAAAAAAAAAGAAAGAAAGAAAGAAAGAAAACAAATGTTCACTTTGAATTGAGTTAGGCCTTAAGAACAATGACTGACATTTTTAGTTTATTCTTAATTTTTCAGCAAGGACCAGACAGTCAGTGTTTGTGGCTTTGGGACAGTTCGTTCTCTATCCTAGGTATTCAGTGATTCCTGGACAGCGCCTCCCTGAGCTCTTTTGGCAAACCCAAATGTCAAATTGCCTGCTTTCTGCGCAAGCCCAATGGCTCCTCCGATCAGCTGTCAATACATCATTTTGCCCGCCCCTTCAACCCCGCCCACTATCAAATTCCAAATAAAGTCCCCTGTCTGGAAGTCTGGAAGCTTCTAGCGGGTGCCTGAGTCTGCAGCAGCTCTCCAGTGCCCTCAATCAAGGGCTTTTCTCATCTGCTCTCTCTTTTCTCTCATGCCATGGAAGACCATTCAGCTTTGCCATTGAGGCAGAAAGGTAGCTAGCTACATGCAGCACCTACGGGCAAGCACAGCTGTGTGCCAATAAAACTTTATTTATAAAACGAGAAGGTGGTTTAAAGACTGAATCCAGACAGTGTCTCCGTAGGTCCCTGGATGACTGGATGATGGGGGGGAGGGGAGGATCCAGGACAGCCAATCGAGATGATGCTCTGTGCAGGCACCCTGCCTCCTTGGTTTTTGCACATATTCTTTGCCAATGGTCCTGCCTTCCTTATTTCCCTGTGTCTCACTCCAAAAAACAAAACAGGGGGCTGGGGATTTAGCTCAGCGGCATAAGCGCCTGCCTTGCAAGCAGGCAGTCATGAGTTCGATCCCTGGTACCGATAAAAACGAAAAAGACACACACACACAAAAATAAAAATAAAGAAAAAGAAAAAAAGAAAAACAAAACAAAACAAAAAACAAAAGGGCTGGGGCGTGGCTCAGTGGTAGAGCATCTAGGAGGCCCTGGCTCCATTCCTGGCACTGCAAAAGAAAGGGACACAGAAAAGAAAAGAAAGAGAAGAGAAAAGAAAAGAAGAGACGAGGCGGGTTTGTTGGTGTAATCTGTCAATCCCTGTTCTAGAACATAAAAGAACAAAACACAAACATCTGCATATGTCCAATCACAATGTGCAGAGCCATCCCGATTGTATTCTAGTTTGAAAGCAATAGCTATAACAGATGTTTGGGGGCATATGAGGGACATTTCATGCAGGAATGCCTATTTAAAACTCTTAAATCTGGGCATGTTGACACAGGCTTGTCATCCCAGCACTCAGAAGGTTGAGGCAGGAGGATCACCTAAGTTCAAGGCCAGCCTGGGCTACAGAGTGAGTCTAAGGCCAACCTAGACTACATAGCAGAACCTAATCTCAAACAAATAAGTAAATAAATAAAATTGATATTTTATCATGCATTTTATTTATTCAATTTATGCATTCAATATTTATTTATGGCCTTTTTGAGACAGAATCTCACCATATAGTTCAAGCTGGCCTTGAACTCACTTTGTAGCCCAGGCGGGCCTCAAACTTGCAGGGATCTTCCTGCCTCAGTCTCCTGAGTGCTGATTAGAAGCATGTACCACCACAGCTGGCTTGCATTCAACTTATGTTTTCAAAAATAAGATAATAATTATTTTTCTTGCTGGGCGTGGAAGCCAGGGCCAAGTGCAGGCAACGCAAGCACTCACCATTGTGCCATCGTGTTGATGACTGTTTCCCTTGCCTCTCCAGTTGCATGCCTGAGACAGGTGTTCTCTGAGTCTGCTCTAGGCCCAGGCCTCAGTACGGGGACTGACAGAGGCATGACAATTGCTGCTTCTCAGTGCTGAGCCAGAGACTGAGTCAGCTTTCTGCTACTGTAACAAAACACCTGAAATGCCCAACTGAAAAGATTCACTTGGGCTCAAGATGTGGAGGTTCAGTCTATGACCATTTGCTCTGCACCTCTGGGGATATGGGGAGGAACACATCATGGTAGGAGACCCAGGAGCAGGGCTGGAAAGAATAGCATCCTACAGTCTCTCCAAGGTCATACCCCCAATGACCTAGCTTCCTCCCATTGGGCTCCACTTCTTAAAAGTCCCACATCTCTCCCAGGACCAAGCCTATAATGATGTAACATTCCTTCTTCTCACAGTGCAGCTTTGCTCTGGAACCAAGGAAATAGTTGTGATAAGGAAACAATAGAAGGACAGAATATTCCAGTTGCTTTGGGGCAATTCAGTTTACTTCTGTTGCTGGAAGTAATTGGTCAAATAGTCAAAAAGTGCCCTATCTTGAGTGGCCCATTCTATAGCCATGAGAGAGAAAGGAGGGGATGGAAATGACCATGCTGTCACTACTGTGCTGGTCTTGGGAGACCTCATGCAGGCTCATCTTCTCCACAGCACAGTGGTGGCCAAACATCCACAGCAACTGTTACGTTTTAGAGCATAAGCGTCCCCAAAGGCTCTTGTGCTGAAGGCTTAAGCTCCAGCTGATGGTACTATTGGGGTATGATGGGTCCTTTAAGAAGCGAGGCCTAGTAGGAGGAATTGAAGTCATCAGATGTGGCCTTGAAGGGGATATTGGGACTCTAGCCCCTTTTCTGCTCTCTCTTTTTCTGTCTCTAACCTTCCTGGCCTCCATGAAGTGAGCTCCTCTGCCTTATCTCCATGCCCCTACATCATGAAATTCAGGTCCAAACAACAGGGCCATCAAGCATTAACCAATCCTGCTGAAACCGTGAGTAGAAGCAAACCTTTCTCCTGGTAAATTGGTATCTCAGGCATTTTGTCATAGCAACAAAAGCCAACAAACAGAGCAAACCAAACATCATCAAATGAAAACTCCCTGCCAAAAAATAAATCCAAGCAACTATTTATAGTATTTTATTAGTAAAAATATCTTTCCTGTGTACGATTAGTATAGTCACAAGCTGGGTAATGTCATTGTGGTCAGGGATAGCCCAGGTTCCCATGTTGGTCCCACAAGATCACATCATTAGGGATGTCAGCACCTCCCTGTGTGAGCCCCTGCCAAATGGTCTCACCATGGTGGAGGTGCCTCACATGTATGTTTCAGAGGTATTCCTGTCACAAAGGCTATGTGACTGTGTTCACACACAATGATTCCTTGCCCATGTTGAGAGGCATACAGTGATTTTAAAAGAGATGAAATCTTATTTCATCACAGCATCCACTTTATTTCTGTATGACATACACTCCTGAATCCTGGAGAAGGGGTCACAAGGGATTTTTCTGTTATGCTGTTTTTGTTTTATGAAGGCTCCATTTATAATCTACATGGGTTCTTTAGGTAAATAGAGATGATAGAATAATCCTAAATTAGCAATCCCCACCTCCCTAAAAGATGTTGCTTTGGCTATGGCTTGATTGAGTCGAATTAATGATTGAATGGGTACAGAAACCAAGGTACATATATGACAGAATATTATTAAGCTATAAAGAAGAATGAAATCCCAACATTCACAGCACAGTGGATAGAACTGGAAGATCATTATGTGAAGTGAAACGAAGCAGACAGAGACGACCTTTTTCATACACGGAAGCTAAAGAAGTCGACCTGAGTGTTCAACCGTGATCACAACATTGAGAATGGGGGTTGGATCAATGGAGACTGAATTTCATTAGTGTCCCAGCCTGCAGGTAAGTCCACAGAGACCCTAGAGGGAGAGTGGGGATGAAAAGGAAACAAGAGATGCAAAGAATGGAGACAAGACGGAGTCCGATCAAGTCTTGTTTATTCAAGGAATGAGTATCAAATATTAGGGTACTGGGGAGGAGAGAGTTGGGTTCTGAGACATCAGCAGGTAACTTAGCAACAGTGGCAAGACTGAGGGTTATAGGTTAATCTAGATTTTCAAATTTTCAAATTTCCCGCACTCGCTCATAAGGCGGGCTGATTATCATAATTCCTGAATAGGCCAGGCCAAACAAGCTAGGTAGGCAAGGTGCTGCTTAACTACCAAACTTAACTCCTAGAAGGAGTTAAGGTGGTGCGGCCTGCAGATATAAGGTGGCAGCCAATTACAGGTCTTCTCACACATTAGTGCATACTTTATGCTTATCATGCCAAAGCCCATTAGTAAGTACAATTAATACACGTTAATAAATATAAAATATAATTTAAAAACCTAAAAAAGCTCTTGCCCAATGCCCCTGGACATCATTTTGAAAGGACAACTTAATTTCGTTTTCAGTCAGGGCTGAGATTGAACCCAGGCCTTCTACACATTAGAAAAGTGTTCTAATCTGAGCTGCATCTCCTGTGCTTTTTAAAACTGTTTATTTTCAGACAAAGTCTGGCTATGTTGCCCAGGCCGGCTCAGACTTGGGATCTTCCTGCCTCAGCCTCCCCAGGAGGTGTGTGCCTCTGCACTCAACCAACTGTTTTAACAACCGTTTTTAAAATGGAACGAGACCAAGATATTTGTAGAACTACCCTGGCCTGCCTTGGAGGCCTGGTTTGGGAATGAATGGATGAGCTAGTAGTCTCATCGAGCTCAAAAGCTTTATTTTCTGGGCTGGGGTGCGTCTTGGACCCTAGAGCCCTTCCCTAGCCTGTAAGAGCCCTGGGTTCCACTTGGTTCCGTGAAAAAGCCTTTTTGCAGGGTTGCATTTTGGAATCTCCAAAGGCTACAGTGGAGGCAAGGAGGGATTTGACTGGATGGTTTGAAGCCTCCTAGCATTACAGCAAAAGCCTCAAGGCAAGGGGAGCCTCTCAAGGCTGCTGGCAAAGAGGAAGAGGAAGCTCTGTGTAACTGGGCGGGAACCGCAAGGCTGTCCCACTTACATGGGTAAACGGGCCAGCAGCAGAGCAGAGACACACGCGCATTCTCTGCTGCTCCCGAGAGCCTGCAGTTTGCAAGCTGTAACAGCATTTTATCCTGCAAACTAGGGCTGCAGAGACTGGGGACGCGAGAACTGTAGCATGCTTATCATCTTAATGCCAGCGCGAGTCCTGCGACCAGCTCACGCACTGGTGATAGGCAGGGTCAGTCGCGCACCTGAGTCCATTGCCAATTTTTACAAACGGGAACCCGTGGTGGAAAGTCTGGCTTTCCGGCGACGTACACCAGGAACCAAGCGCTGACAGTAGGGCGCTACAGCTGCGATCCTCCACCCCACCCCCTGCGCAGTAATCCGCCTCCCTGCAAAGGCTAACCAGGACAAACCAGGCCCTAAGGATCGGAAGGGACGGCTCCTGGCTGTCACTCCTCAACGTTCTCACGCCTCGGCCTTGGGACCTGGAGTACCCGAGTCACCTCTGCACGGCCAGCGCCTGGGTCTGCAAAGTGGACCCAGTGTCTGACCTCCGAGCAGGAGCCGGTGACTGGGACCCGCCTCTACCTGCCTCTGCGCCTTCGCTGACCCAAGAGCTCCGCGGTTCACGGCTGGTCTAGCCTGTCTCCCACTCCCGCACCCACTCCACTCCCTATCAGCACCGGAACAGCAACCTTTCCCCTTCCTAGCCTGCTGTGATTTTTTATTTTTATCGCCAGCCCAGGGGCGGAAATTGGATCAGGGTAGCCAATCAGAGTGCTGCATTCTCACAGAGCAAGGTGACTGGTTCAAGGACGCAAATTCAGCCAATCGGAGCCAATTGGAGGCGGGACGAGCCGCTAGCGGCAACTCTTAGGAACCGGAAGCACTTTATCCCCTTACCTGGAGCTGGCAGGGCCTTGGCCTGCATATTGCCAACCAGGAGCTGCAGGTCTGAGAATGGCCCTTATGGGAAAGAAAGGAAGGGAGAAACAGAAAATGCTCGGAGGTCATGGGGCCAGATGTCCTCCAAGAAAGTCATTTTCTGTGCTGCAGGCAGTCTGAACAGGACTGACCTGTGGACTCACACAATCAGGCAGACCTGGGAACGCTTGTTGGGCTTGGGCTTCCTTCCCTGGGCCCCTTCCGACGAGTCCTGCAGGGCACCCGCCGCCAGCTCTTGTCTCTGCCTGCATTTGACCCTCCACACTGCCTTCTGGAAGTTCCTTAGCGGGTACTGCTGTGAGGCCCAGGAGGCTGGGCATTGGAACCGCTGCCGGAGGATGTAACCATGGCTTGTGGGGGCAATGAAGCCATTGGAAGTGGGGATGATTCTGGTCACTACTGCATGAACAAATTGGCTGGCCAGCAGCGTGCCTGTTGGGTGAAGACAAGAAAGCTAGGGTACAAGGGTCTTTGCTATACCCCATACCAGCATGGTGTCACAAGGAACCTTCCAGGCTGCTCTTCCCTTCATCTTTAGAATGGGAATTCCCTTGGCAAAACCTACCTGCATAAGGGAACTCTGAAGATTCAGAGATAAACTGCAGATTAGATTCCTTGTATATGTCTCTGACCTGAAGGGGGTCAGTCAGTGTCATTATTGGAGGGAGAGAAGGAAGGGAGGTTATGAACCAGGTCAGGATGGGCTTTTAAGGCCACAGTCCTTAGACCTTGGCTTCTGAACTGTCTGTGGCTGACTAGTGTCTTAGCTACATTGTGTTACACTACAGGGTGTCAGTATATTGGCCCATGCCTGTCATTCCAGCACTCTTGAGAGGCTGAGGCAGGAGGCTGGCAGGTTTGAGCCCAGTCTGGGCAATTTAGTGACTTAGACCCTGTCTCAAAATGAAAAATTTAAACAGGAATGTGATGTAGCTTGGCATGAAGGCTCTGGATTCCATCATCCACACCACAAAAGACATACAATGGCTACAAATCTAGTTCATAAACTATGAAACCAAGTATGTTTTATCCTGCTACATTTAAGAAGGTGCCTTCAGAAACACCTGGAAGGTCAAGTTCAAACTTACAGCTAGAATGTGGCATGGGACAGCCAGGCCTCTGCCATGTGTGGCTCAGCAACCTTCTCCCACTTTGAGGGGCTGTATCCATGACCAAGAAAACCCCACGAACCCTCCTCAGACACGCAGACCCCTTTGCAGCACCCACAGCCACTTCCTTCATGCACTCCCTTGAGAGGCTGCCCCTGGGGAGAAGCCTGTGCAGACCATGTGTGGATCTGTCATCATAGAAGTCAGGGGTCCTCCTTCAGGCCAGTGGAGGTGAGGCAGGGGCCTTTGGGGGCCAGAAGCTAAGCCAGGGCCCTCGGTATCCAAAGTGAGACTCACCATCCAGTACGCTCCACACAATGACAGAGCGGTCCTCCAAGCCCGAGAACACATACTTGTCGTCCTTGGAGAAGCAGGCACAGCGCACCCCGGGGCAGTAGGAGCTCTGTTCAACACAGACCACAGGATCTGAATGCCAAGTGGGAAGTCACTGGGGACCAGCCCTGGAGCCAGGCTTTGAGCCCCACAGGGGGGGGGGGAAGGGTCCGAGGAAAGCTTGGGTAAATGGGGGGTGGGGGTCCCAGGTCTGGGAGGTGGCAGATGCTTTGCACCAGAGAGTGCAAATGATAGTGCCCCATTTCCACAGGGCCTCGCACATATGAATGCTCACTATAAATTCACTGAATTAAACATTTTATGCTGAAAGCCCCGTTTCAGGCCAGGTGCAGCAGTGGATGCCTGTCATCTCAGCAACACAGGAGCCTGGGGCAGGAGACAACCATGAGACCAGCTTAGGTAACATGGTGAGACCCTGCCTCAAAATGAAATATAAAAACTAAAGCCGAAGGGCTGTAGCTCTGTGGAGAAGCCTGCCCAGCACGCATGAGCCACTGGTTCAATCCTGAGGACCGCAGAGAAAGGAAGGGAAGAAGGGAAAGAAAAGAAAATGCTGGGGGACCCCAGATTAGACTCCAGAACAGGAAAAGTGAATCACAGGTTGAGAATTTCAAGTTCGAAACAGGAAACCCAGGAGTGGAAAATTCCACACCATGAAACTTCCTATCGTGGGCAGAATTGTTAAAAATATTGTATAAAGTGACATTGGTGTGTATATTAAACCATAAAATGAATTTCCTGCATAGATTGGGTCCTATCCCCAAGATACGTCTTAGAGATTTGCGAATATTCCAAAATCTGAAAAGATCCTCAACACAGGACATTTTGGCTCGTGTTTTTTTGTTTTGTTTTGTTTTGTTTTTTAAGGGTTTCAATCTGTAGTGAGTCACCTTGAACTCACTATGTAAACCATTCCGGTCTCCAACTCACAGAGATCCTCCTGCCTCAACTTCCTGAGTGCTGGGATAATAGGCGGGCACCACCATGTCCAACATCCAAGCATTTTAGATAATGAACACTCAACCTGTATTCCTCTCCATTGCAGAGGTTTTCGTTTTGGTTTCCATTGTGGTTTTGTTTCGGTAATGGGGACCAAACTCAAAGGATGATACTCCGCCCTTTTTAGTTGGGTTTTTTTTTTTTTTTTTTTTGTCTTTTTGAGACAGGGTCTCACTATGCAGTTCAGGCTGGCCTTGAGCTCACTTTGTAGCCCAGGCTGGTCTCGAACTCCCAACGATCCTCCCACCTCAGCCTCCCGAGTGCTAGGATTATAGGTATGAGCCACCATGCCCGGCTCATTTTTAGTTTTTTGTTTTGTTTTATTTTGTTTTTTAGTTTTTGAAACAAGGTTTTGCTAAATGGCCCATCTGGGTCTCACACCCACACCCCAGCTCCCGGGCACGTACCACATGGTCCAGCTCCAGCCTGCATTCGCATGCCCTCAGGTCCCAGAGACACAGCCGACCCTCCTGTGATCCGCTGACTGCCAGCAGCTCACTATGGCTGACATCCACGCAGGTGATGGGGCTGCCATGGGCCTCGAGGGGGAAGACCTGGGAGTTGGTACATGCGTACAGGAAGAGGTTGCCGCTGGTCATGCCGTAGAGCACACGGCAGTCATCTAGCACAGCCACACTGGTCACGGTCTCAGGCAGCTGCGTGTAAAAGATGCACACGGGGCCCTCGATGGCCGGGCATGGGTCCCCAGGCACCACGTCCAGCACCAGCACGATGTTGTCGTAGGCGATGGCCAGCCGGTCCTCACGCTTGCTCAGGGCCATGCCCACCACTGGCTTGTGGGCCTCAGGTGGGGGCACACACAACACATCCTGCCGCGCGTCTAGCGGGAAGCCCAGCATGGCTCCTGATGCCAGCCCCGCGAGCAGGAGCTTGGGCCCCTCGGCAACCTCCAGGCACCGGACCTCACTGGACACGTCCAGGACATCCTGCACCTCACCTGCCGGGGGAGAGCCAGAAGCCATGAGGGTGCCATGTAGCTGGCTGGCTTTGTTTTTTTTGTGGCACTGGTGATGGAACCCAGGGCCTTGAACTGATCTGTAGCCCTGGCCCTGTCTTCAATTTTCATTTTGAGACAGGGTCTGGCTAAGTTGCCATTGGCCAGGGCTGCAACTTATGACCCTCCTGCCTCAGCCTCCTACCCCAGTATCTCTCTGGGTCCCCACTGCAGGCCCCTCAACTACAGGCTCATCCAGAGCCTAGGGTGCCCGCTGCTTTACCTCTGTCTAGTGGTGCCCTCTGCCAGAGGGAGCCCCTCATCTGGAAAAGTCAGGTCTCCCCATGGGTGTCCAGAGTGCCTGGGAGAAGGGCACAAGAGCCTGGCCACAGCTGGGCAGGTGGCGCATGCCCATCATCCCAGCACCCTGGGAGGCTGAGGCAGGAGGGTCACAAAGTCAAGTGCAGCCTGGGCAACATAACAAGAGCCTGTCTTAAAATAAAAATAAAATGGGGACATAACACTCTCCCACACTGTTGGATGATAGAAAAAGTCCACCAACCAGCAACCCAGAAGTGGGCCTCCCCACTCCAGACATGGCACTCCAGCACTGGATCTGCCCCCTGAGCCCCAGACCTCAGTGTGAACACTGTCTCCTGAGCCCCCACCCCCTAGGTCTGCTTTCACCTCTTCAGCCGAGGCAGGGCTTCCATCCTCACCATACACAGGGCCCAAGTCCTGGCTTACATACCTTCTGCCACATCCCACACAGTGATCTTGCTTTTGTCCCCAACTTTTGGGAAGTAGACATATCTGCCATGGTGTGACACGGCGGCCAGGCCAGTGCGGTCCAGGAAGGCCACAGGATGCCGTGGCTGCTGCAGGTTGCTGAGGTCCCAGACCCTGAGGGACGAGGACTGGCGGGATGCAGAGGCCACCAGGGTCCCAGCGTGGACCAGCAGATTCACTGGGCCGCCTGTACTCTCCAGGACATCCAGCAGGACCCCTTGCTCTGACAGACTCCATACCTGCAGCATGACAGGGAGGCAGATGGTTGCACAGGCACTGTCCATCCATCTATCTGGCTCAGCTGAAGTCTCAGGCGCCCTTGTAGGCTTTCACTAGGTCCCAGCCTCTGGTTTTGTTTTTGAGACAGGTTCTCCCCACATAGCCCAAGCTGGCCTTGAACTCAGGCAATCCTCCTGCCTCAGCCTCCCTAGGACTGTGCTGACAGGAGTGTGTCACTATGCCTGGTTTGCCTATACTTTTTAACTTACCCAGAGCTCCCCAAGCAAATGCCAGAGTGGTTCTCAGAGAGTTCTCAAAGTGGCAGGCACCCTTGGCCCTCTCAAGGTATTTGTAGGATTGGAACTATGTTCAATGGTGCCTGTCTAACATCCCAGCTACTCAGGAGGTTAAGACAGGAGTGTCACCTGAGGCCAGGAGTTCAAAATCAGCCTGAGCAATACAGTGAGACTGTCCAAAAGAAAAAAAGCGCAACCCCCGAAACACATTTTCCTAATAGTTCCAAAAGAAGAGGGCCTCGCTGTGTAGCCCTTTTCTGCTCTTCCAGAGTAAGCGACAGAGAGTTCCAGAAGTTTCCTGACTGCCTGGAAATAAATGTGCAGTGCAGTCAGTGTAAGCCTGCCTGGCTTCCCATGAGCCAGGCACCAGCAGGGCTTGGAAACTCGAAACCATATCCCGAGTCCACGGACACCCATGTCCAGGTGTGTGCAGACCTGTGCATATGAGGAAGGATAGGCATGCAGGAAGTCTATAGCGTGCATATGTGTGCAGGTACATGTGTAACCGCACCTATACACGAGTGCATGTGTGCGCGTGCGTATGAGCACACACGTGTGCATAGTCACACACACACACACGTGTGCGCGCGTGCGAATTATTGTTGCAGGAAGCCCTGGGCCTTCCTGAGTCCGCCCCGTACCCCTGGGAGCCACCTCATGGTCACCATCAAGGTCACCATCCAGGGCTACTCGAGGCAGGCCTATCCCAGAGTGGAAAAGGATGCGGGTAAAGCCAGTGACATCAGGAAGGTTGATTCCCATGGCTGCTGACATGCCCTGGGATGTCAGTGTTGGGAAAGGAACACGCGTGGTCTCGGTGATGCCGCTGTGACCCTGGAAACCCCACAAGTCACCATGTGTCTCGCAAGCAGCCAGCACAACGCGTCCCCTATCGCATGTGCGCCAGGACCTTGCTCCCTAAGGAGGCCCCGCAGGGGCTGGATACTTAAGGGGTGGGCGGGTGGGGGGCAGGGCTGGGAAGGATGTCCGCACCTCCCGGCATCTCTGGCATTGTGTGTAGCCAGCCTGCGCCTCTGCACTGCCATGCCAAAAACCACGGCTCCAACACGTGCACACACACAAAGTCCTGGGCTACCAAGGCTCTCTGAGATCCTCAGGCATCTCTAAGACTGCAGAGCGCCTGGTGCAGTGATACACATCTGCCATCCAGCGCTCAGGAGGCTGAGGCAGGAGGATCACGGTGCGTTGGAGGCCCACTGGGGCTACACAGCGAGGCCCTCTCAAAAGCAAAATAAAATAGGGCTGGGGATTTAGCTCAGCGGCAGAGCACTTGTCTGGCAAACCCGAGGTCATGAGTTTGATCTCCAGCACAAAAAAAAAAGAGAGAGAGAGAGAAAGAAAAACACTGCAGAGAACTTTTGAGACCAGGATATTAGAAAACTCTCTTTCTTCTCTCTCGCCAGGAATGAAACCCAGGACTTTGCACAAGCCAGGCAGGCAAGCTGCTGCCTAGTTTATTTTGACCCAGATGCTTTAAGCAAGTGTGATGCCACTGAGCTGTGCCTGCAGCTTTATCTGTTTCACTTGAGGGTCTCACTAAGTTGCCCAAGCTAGGCTCAAACTGGAGATCCTCCTGCCTCAGTCTCCCAGGTAACTGGGCTCGCAGGTGTGCATCTTGGGGTTTCTTTGTTACCCCTGGCAATGCTGGACCTGAGCTCGTTCTCCCCACACGGTGCTCTGAGCCCAGACCCATTTTTTGGGGGGTGGGGCAGGGGCACTGCTTTTCTCTGGGCCACTTGAGCAAGGCACACCCAGGTCTGTTGGGACCTGGGGACTCCGCTTCCCCCAGGGAGAAGCCCTGCGTGGTGTGCTCAGCAGTCCCTAATGCTCTGGCCCTCCATCTCCACAGAGCCACAGTGGGGCATGACATCCCCTCACCTGCACGAGCCCATCCCGGGACCCGGTGACCAACAGGTTGTTCTGGAGTCCAAACACCGCCGTCTCCACCACGTCCTCATGCTCCAGGTCAGCGGCTGGGAAGCGGTGGAAGCCCTCAGAGTCAGCCAGGAACACCCGCACACGTGTCCCAAAGCCTGGAATGCACGCATGGATGAGGGCAACAGGGCCTGGTTGCACCCGACGCCAGCCTGACTCTGTGTCCTCCCATGGTCCCCAGAGCCAGAGCCAGGGGCTACCTGCAGCGAGCAGGGACTCATCTTCGGCTAGCACCAGGAACCGCGGTGCCTCTGGGAGCCGATCCAGCAGGCGGTCTCTGTGCACTCCATCCGGGGAGACCTGGCCACGGGCAGGGGTGTCAGCTGCTGCCCTGCAGCTACAGCTCAGGGCCCAGAGCTTTTTTTCCTTGTGGAGCCCAAGCCAGCCTCGAACTTGGCCAGGCCCTTGCAGGAGCCCCAGAGATCTCAAGTAAGATAAAACTATAACGGCCCTCATCATACCAGCACCCAGGAGGCTGAGGCAGGAGGATAGCAAGTTTGAGGCCAGCCAAAGCTCCACAGTGAGTTCGAAGCCAGCCTGAACTGTACAGGGAGACACTGTCTCAAAAAGCAAAGCAACAAAAACCAAAAAAAAAAAAAAAAAAAAAAAAAAGAGATGGGAAGAGGAGGAGGAGGAGACACCAGGTGTCCAAGTGCACTCAGTAAAACCCATGAGGAAGGTCACCCTCACATGCACTGCCTGTGACTGCCATGCCCTTGAAAGAGGAAGCGGTGTTGGTCTTGTAGTCAGTCACTTACCATGGTGAGAGAGCCACTTCTGAACCCCGCGATCACCCTCCCTTGTTGCTGGATGGGGACCACACAGGTCAGGGTCTCCTCTGGGGTGGTGGACAGCGACCATGTCCCCTGAAGCTGTCCAGTGGCCGAGCTCCACATGCTGACAGCACCACTCTTGGACAGGGTCAGCAGCCTGGCCCTGGACACCAGCACAGCTGTGCACACGCAGGGGTTGGCAGTGTCACCCAGGATGCGGAAAACCAGCTCTGAGGTTTGCAGACTCCAAGCGCTGACCTGGTGGGAGTGGGAGGGAGTTGGATCTGGGGTTCAAGAGATCTTCTTGCTTCAGCCTTCCAAGTAGCTGGAGACAGGCTGGACTTGTGCCCAGCCAAGCCCCTTTCTTCATGTCCATTCTTGTTTTGTGTATGATTTTGTCTGCTTATTTGTTTGGAGACAGGATCTCAGTATAGCATTCAGGTGGCCTGGACTTGTAGTGATCCTCCTGTCTCAGCCTCAGCCTGTGCCAGGTTTAGGAAAAGTTTTAAAAGTAGAAGCCATGTGGCCAGGCATGGTGGTGGTACACGTCTGTGATCCCAGCACTCAGGAGGCTGACACAGAAGAATCACTGCAAGTTTGAAAACAGCCTGGGCTACACAGTGAGGCCCTGTCTCCAAAACCCAAACCAAAATAAAAACATCATAGATCAAGGCATGATAGTGCACACCTGTAACCCAGTTACACTCAGGAGGCAGAAGCAGGAGGATCTTGAATTTGAGGCCAGCCTGGGCAACACCATGAAATACCTTGGCATCAGCACGACAAAACTGTGGCTGTGATAAAAGGGTACTTACAGGGACCAATAAGAGGGGAGCAGAGTCTCAGGTTTAGGGTCACAGAAACTGTCTCAGCCAATGGCAACCTTCAAAGTCCCTTCCAGCTCCTCCCAGTGCTGAGCCCCACACCCTGTGGCTGCTGGATGCTCTGGCCCCAGTTGGGCTTCCAAGAGCAGGGTGGCTGCGCATTACCTTCGAACCCCAGGCCACATACACCACGCCGTGGGCCTCATCCACGCAGAGGCTGAAGGGCTGGGAGTCTGGGAGCCCCATGTCCCGCTGGGTCCACCTCTCCCGGCCAGACAGCAAGTGCCACAGGCACAGCGAGCGGTCCCTGGAGGCAGAGATGGCCAGTGTCCCCCGGGCAAGCACGGCCACGCACATCACCTCGCCTGCAGCAGGATTCAGGTGTTAGCCAGGGTGCTTGTCTCTATCAGATCATCTTGGGGCCGTGGGTGCAAGGACACCTGGCTTTCAAAGACAAGGTGGGCAGTTTGAGCAATGGATCACAGAGGGGAGTGAAAAATGCAATGGAGGGCAGGGGGCAAGGGGTCCTCCAGAGACTGAACATGTGATAATCAAGCCTGCATTTTACAAGGCTGCCTGTCCAGGAGGTATTAAAAAAAATTTTTTTTTGGTTGTTTTGAGACAGGGTCTCACTATGCAGTCCAGGCCTTAAACTTGCAGGACCCTCCTGCCTCAGCCTCCTGAGTACTAGGATGATGGCATGTACTGCCATGCCCTGCCAGGATGATGTCAGTTTCTAAGAGCTGGGGAGAGACAAGCATGGGAAACCTTCAGTCTGTGCTGCGTGGTTGGAACACTAGTTAGCCACTGTAAGTTTTTATAATGTGACCTTTAGTGTCGCTCCGTGTGACAGTCTCCTCACAGAGTCCCTGAAGCCTCATGTACCCTCATGTACAGCCTCCATGAAGTAGCGAGCCTGCCCGCTCCAGACCACTGACACCCATGACAGCTTTGGGGTTCTCAATAAACTGTTTTCAGTGTTTTCCTAACAACAAGTAAGAGTTTGTTACACGGCCTGGTGATGCACCACTCATCCCAGCAAACTGGGAGGCTGAGGCAGGAGGATCCAGGTCCCACCCCAGCCCAGGCAACTTGGCAAGACCATGCCTCAAAATAAAATAGAGGGGGCTTGAGCTGCAGCTTAGCTGAAGCCCTGGGTTCTGTCCCCATCCTCGGGGGGTGGGGATAGAAGAGGCAGAAGGACAAATTTAGAATCTGCTGTGGTTTGCATGAATGTCTCCCCTAAAACTGTCAGGGGAGAGCAATGCCAGGGCAGGAGGGAGGGGGACTTTTCTTCTGTGGTACTCACGGTTGCACTCAGAACCCTCTTGCCAAGCTCCATCCACAGCTCGCTCACTCTCCCCCTCCCTGTCTCTGTCTCTTTCCCTGTCTCTGTCTCTGTGTCTCTCCCTGTCTCTGTGTCTCTCTGTGTCTGTCTCTGTCTCTCTCCCTGACTCTGTCTCTGTCTGTCTCTGTCTTTGTCTTTTTGTCTCTCTGTCTATCTCTCTGTCTGTCTCTCTCTCTATCACCCTCTTTCTCTTGCTTTCTCTCTGGGGATTGAATCCAGAGCCTTCACACTGAGCTACATTCCTAATTGATTTTAACTTTTTATTTTGAGTCAGGGTCTCTCCAGGTGGCCCCGACTGGACTTAAAATTGTGATCTTCCCACCTCGGCCTCCTGTGTGGCTGGGATTCCAGGTGCACCCTGAGTGGGGTGCAATGGGTCAGACAGCTGTAGCTGAGCACTGCAGGAATGCACTATATGGTTTCCATACAGTGGAGGCTCAGCAGGGCCCCTGGAGTCTGTCTACGTGGGACCCAGATGGTACCCACTCCCTTGGCTGCCCCACCTGTGTGTCCCATGAGCACATAGCTCACGCGTTGCTTCTGCACATCCCACACGGTCACCATGCCGTCCTGGGCGCCCACCACCAGCCTCTGCTCCTCTGGGCTCCATGCCAGGGCGGTGACACCTGCAGCCACACAGGGACGACAGCTGTGCATTCACAGCTGGGCCACCCTTTGCAGATGGGAGCCCAGGCACAGGTGGCGCTGCCCTCTGTCAGGACCTGGCAGAGGCCCTGGGGTGACACAGTGTCCCCAGCCTGGCTCAGGGACAGATTTACCCCAGGGTCCTGTCTCCCCAGGGCACCGAGGGCCAAGTCAGCATGAGTTGGCACCAGCTGATGGTGTCCCCGGGACCCACCCCAGCCCACACCCACCCCACCTCACAGCCAGGAAACCCACCTCTGTGACAGCCAGTGAGCGTGGCATACAGGGGGCCCCCAGGGGGGGTCAGGCATCCAGCCAGTGGCACCAACAGTGGGAATGGGCATGCATGGAGCCAGGCTTGGGCCTGCTGGCACAGCGGCCCCACCAGCACTGGGTACAAGGGTGCTGAGGCCTGCAGCCTTGCCAGGAGCTCGGTGTACAGCACGCTTTTCTCTGCAGAGGACACAGGTACACAGGACTGTTACCATCCGTGTGGTCCCTGCCACCCACCGTTCCTGGCAGCCTCCAGGCTCCTGACTGTTGCCAATGCTGCAGCAAAAACACTCTGGGGGGCTGAGGCCGGAGAGGCCCAAGTTCAAGCCTGGCCCGGGCAACTCAACACTGGTGAGACCCTGGCTCAGAATCAACAAAAAGGGCTGGGAATGTGGCCCTGATGAGCTCTGGCCTGAGGACCCCAAGAGGGCACAAGAGAGAAGTTTCGGGCAGAGGTGGTCCTGGACCTGGACCTGGTCCTGCAGCCTGGAGCAGGCAGGTGCCTGCGGTGCCCGCTGGTAGCTGGGTTTGAGCCCACCCAACTGTGTGGTCGGCCAAGGGCCCACTGAGGTACCACCTGGATGAGGGCCCATCCGTCCTGGAGCTCGGGAGATGCCCTAGGCCTGGAGGTCGCCAAGGATCTCGTCTCTGCCCTGGACTCTGCATCTCCACAGGGCCCTCCTGCCCCTCCTGCTGCAGCTGAGAACCGCGCCCTGCAGAAAGGGCTGCACCAAGGCCCAGGCCACCAAGGGTCTTGAGGCTGCTAGACTCAGGAAGCAGGGTGTCCAGGACCCCGGAGGGACCTGGTGGGGGTGGCCTCGCAAGCCCTTCCTGGCAGCCAGAGGCAAAACTTAGCCCACAACTCTAGAGGTTGCTCGTCAGGTCTCACGGCCCAGGCTGCTCCGCCCTTGCTGCAGCTGGAGGTGGTAAATGGAAGCAGGGTTCAGCACCTGTCTGCCCAGTGCTCAGGGAGGCCAAGGCAGGAGGATGGGAATATGAGATCAGCCTGAGCAGTGTAGCAACTCAGGGAAACCAGGACTCAATATGAAAAGTAAAAAGGGCCGAGGGTGAGGCTCCGTGCAAAGGCCCTGGCCTCCATCCCTAGCACTGAAAAAAAAAAACGGGCCAAGGGAAACAGGCAACATCAGGCATCAGTGCTTGGTAAAATAGGGGCTGGGAGAACCCAGTGCTTGCCCCCCATGCACCACAGCCCTGGACCCCAGCTCTGTGGGAGGCTGAGGCAGAAAGCAAGTTCTAGCCCAGCCTGGGCTAATTAGTGACTTAGCAACACCCTGCCCCAAAAGATAATTAAATAAAAAGGGCTGGAGATGGAGCTCAACCGAAGCCCTAGGGTTAACCCCCAGGGCTGTGAAAACCAGTCTTTACAGGTCCCAGCATTTGCAGTGGAACAGATGGCAAGAACCAGTGGTCCGGGGCCCAGGCAGGCGAAGCTGCTCCCCGAAAGCGCCCCTCACCCCCGAGTGGACCCCATGGTCACTGTGTCTGGAGCCCATGGGAGCTGACATGTTGAGGTGATGCCGCCGCCACTGCCCTCCAGGGAGCAGTGTGGGCCAGGCATGCCAGGGGTCACTGAGTCACCAACTACCAAAGCAGGCTCCAGGAGTGAGGCAGTTCAGAGGCTGAGGCAGGAGAGGCCCCAGCAGGGCCAGCCGCTCACCTGCACCCCGAAGCTCCAGGGCTGGGCGACAGAGCTCGAGTGTCTCCCGCACCAGGCCCAGTTCCGGGCCATCCACATGGGGCATGCACAGGTCCACATCATCCAGCAGGGCATCGAGACCACCGGACAGCACCCGGCAGGACAGCCAGCTCATGTCACCTGCAGACACAGGGCTCAGTGGGTCCTCCACCTCCGTCAGGGTCCCAACCCAGCAGGACATAGCAGCCTCGTTCACCCTGGAGTGGGGCTGCACTCTGCACTGTGGGGGATGGGCAGAGCACCTCCGCCACCACTGTGGGCAGGAAATCCCACCAAGGTCTCCAGGATGGGGCAGAAAATCAGAGGAGGGAGGGCAGGAGGATGGATGAGTGGATGGGAGGATGGACAGGTAGGTGGGAGGACGGGTGGGTGGGGGATGGGGGATTGATGGGTGGGAGAGAGCGGGATGGGTGGGAAGACGGGTGAGTGAACAGGTGGGTGGCTGGGAGCATGGAGGATGAGGGTGGATGGGTAGGTGGACATGTGGGTGGGTGGGAGGATGGGTGGGAGGACGGGTGGGTGGGTGGGTGGATGGGAGGATGGGCAGGTAGGTGGGGATGGGGAATGGGGGGTGGCTGGATTGGTAGGTGGACAGGTGAATGGGAGGGTGGGAGGACGGGTGAGTGTGTAGATGAGTGAGTGAGTAGACTGATGGGTTCCATGAGTAGCTGGATACATACTGATGGATGCCTGGGTAGATGGGTGAGTGGGTGAATGATACACAAATGAATACATGAATACATGATGGACACATGGATAACAGAAAGACAGACTCTCTGTGAGTCTCTCACAGGCTTTGTCGCCCTGTGCGCTGTCCTTAGAGGCCACACATACAGTGTCCCAGCCTTGACCCAGGGACCTGAGTGCCCAGCTCCTACACGCCAGTGACCCTGGGTTGGCTGCCCTGTGGCCTGGCACACCTTCTTACCCAGAACGTCCCGAAGCAGCTCCTCCTTACGGCCGGCCCCCAGCAGGTGGTAGGGGAGCTCTGCCAGCTTCCGCTCATTGGCCACGGAGTCTGAGAACCACAGGGGCTGTGGTGCCACCTGCAGGGGTGGGGATGGGGGCTGGAGCGCTGGAGGCCCAGGTCCTTCCAGCACCCCAGTGGGCAGAGTAAGGGCCCCAAGCTAGGCATCTGAAGCAGGGGTGAGGCCCTTCCTGAGCACAGGGAGGTCTCAGAGCCAGGGGCACTGGGCCGGGCCTCAGAGGGTGAGCAGGAGTGCGTTTGGCAGTGTGCAGAAAGCACCAAAGTTGCAAAGTTCCACACACACACTTGGGGTTCCAGCTGCTGGGGAGGCTGAGGCAGGAGTGTGGCATGTACCAAGGAGTCCATGTCCAGCTTGGGCAGCAGAGCAAGACCCCATCTCTATGCAAAGCAAACAAAAGCAGCAAAGGCACAGACCTGGAGGTATGAGGGAGGACAAGGGTTTCAGGATGCAGCAGAAGGCTGGGAGGCTACAGAGGCTTGAGTGGAGTGGGAAGAGACCAGCAAGGTCGCCCTGCACCTCGGCTCAAAAGACAAGGGGCGCTTCAGAGCCAGGGACAGTGCGGGAGTCGCTCGGAAGACACAGGGCATGTGAAGGGTCCTGTCTGACCTTCCTCCTAGGACCACAGGGGGGAGGGGCTCAACGTCTCTGAGCGGCTGTGTCATCTATGATGACATGTGTGCTCTAGGGATCGGTGGATGCTTGGCCCTTGACTAGTGCCCCCAGCCCTTTCATCCTTTTCTTATTCATATATTTATTTATTTCTGGCACCAGGAATCGAACTCAGGACCTCACGTTTGCCAGGCAGGTGCTGTGTCACTGAGCTATATCCCTGGCCTGGGGGTGGATTAATGTTCCCAAATTCAGTGATTTTTTTTTCTCTCCTGGCAAGTGGGTTTCTGCACCCCCTCCTCCTTAGCTCCCCTTCCCGCGCTGTGCCCCGGGGTTGGGGCGCCTCGGCTTCACGGGGAGAACAGTGGGCTGGAGAAGACCAGGTGGCCAAGGAGGCCGGCAGGGGCTCTCACCTTGCGGTCCAGGCTCTGCGGTCTTCCCACGCACAGCAGAGTGATGTGCTTCTTGGTGCCCTGGCTCCAGGCGCCGGAGAAGAAGTCGGCCAGGACGTGGTGCCGTGCGGCCGCCTTAGCAGGGGACAAGTAGCGCGCTTGGACCACCTCAGCCAGCTGCCTGCGGGCGGAAACACGCTGTGGGCGGGGACAAGGCCCGGGGGCGGGGACTCGAGAAGGGGCGGGGACATCGAGGGGGTGTGGCCACGTGGAGTCAGGATGGGGCGGGGCCAAGGCTAGGGGCGGGGATTCGGGAGGGGCGGAGAAAAGGCGGGGGGGGGGGAGTTGGGACTGGGAGGGTTGGGACTCAGGGTGGGGGCGGGGACACGGGATGAGGCGGGATTCCGAATGGGGCTGTGAAAGGCTAGGGGCGGGGGCAGGAATACGGCAAAGATAGCTCGCGAGGCCGGAGGCTGGAGACAAAACGGGGGCTGGGACACAGTCTGGGGCGGGACAAGACTGGTGGTGGAAACAAGGCTGGGAGCGGGGATGCAGCCTGGGTCCGTGCACTTAAGAGCCCAGAGGGAGCCACCTGTGTCCCTGGGGAGCCACGCTGGACACCCCCCCCAGGCCATCCCAGATGCCCTCTAGGGCTTTCTGCCTAGGTCTGGGTTCCTTTGTCACCTAGCGTTTGTTCCTAAATTGGCTGGTTCTCTGTTGCTTAAATATATAGACTTTAAAAAGTAGCCTTTGGAAGCCGGGCTTGATGGCACATGGCTACCCCAGCGTTCAGAAAACTGAGGCAGGAGGCTTGCAAATTCAAGCCCATCCAGGAGAATTTAGCAAGATCTCAATTTCAATAAAATAAATAAATACAAAAGAACGAAAAACAAAGTAATGAAAAATAAACTGTGCATGTTCATGGCAACACTGTACACAATAGTGGAAAGGTAGAAAGACCTCAGGTGGGCAGATGAACAGATAAACACAATGAAGGGGAGTCCACCATAGAATGGAATATTACTGACCCATGAAAAGGAGCACAACTCTGACACAGCTACAGCATGGAGGAAACTAGGAACCACGATACTGAGTGACAGCAGCCAGACCTGAAAGGCCACATGGCATATGGCCCCACTGATGTGAGGTGTCTAGCACAGGAGAGTCCACAGGAAGTGGACTGGCTGTCCCCAAGGGCTGGAGGAGGAGAAGTGAAGGGGTGGTTCAAGGACTGGGCTCCCTGGGGATGGAAACATCTGAAGCGAGATGGTGGCTGCATGGGGCAGGGCATTGACCACCACTCAACTGTGCTGTGTTGAGAACCAGAAACTGCATGACATGATTCACTCCAGTTTTAAACAGGGCTGCTAAGCCCTGTTTAAACGATGCAGCTCAGAGTTGAGCGCTGGCCTGAGACGAGTGGAGTCCTGGATTCCAGTTCTCTTACACCAAAGGCAGAACCACAGCAGCGTGCAACATGTACACCTGTGACCACAGTGAAGCCAAGGCAGGAGACTCCAGATTCAAGACCTGTTTAGCAAAGCCTTGCCTCAAACACTTTATCAAAAAGGGTTGGGTGGGACATCCCTGAACTGCATCCCTGCTTTCACGAAGAAATAAGAGAAATAAACAGGGCTGCAGTGCCCTCAGCAGTGAGCGCTTGTCTGCACATGCTTGAGGCCCTGGGTTCCACCCCAGCACTTCAGACCTAGGACCAGGTCTTGCTTTGAGTTCAGGCTGGCTGTGGACAGTTGGCAACCCTCCTGCCTCAGCCTCCTGAGTTCTGGGATGACAGGCATGTGCTACCATGCCTGGCTAGTAAATATGTTCTTAAGAACTTGGAGTGGGTGGGTTGAGAGTGACTGGAGTATGGCCTGGAGCTCTGGGAGCCTGAGCTGTGGGTCCGCAGGCCCTGGCCCCACCTGTGGGCGATGGCCAGCAGCGTGGTGCCATGCATGGGCCGCTGCACCAAGTAGTGGCCCAGGTCCTGGCGCAGCCGCACCCACAGCAGCGGCGGGAAGCGCAGCATCTCCTGGCTGGGTGGCGTCCAGTCTCGATAGGCAGCCAGCAGTGCCTCGTCATCCAGGGACAGCACATCCTTCAGCTCGGCCTCCGATAGCCCATGCCTAGGGGATGGGTCGGAGCATAGTGGCCAGCTCTGCACGGCGAGGTGCCCCGCATCTCTCATGCAGCCGCCGCCATTACCCCTACCCCCAGGCCACTTGTCAAGGGTTCCTGCACACGCCCCAACTCCCAGGCCAGGAACTGCACTGCACCCCCTAAATCTTCTCCACTTTTATTCTGAGCCAGTCTTTCGCTCAGTGCCTAAGTGGCCCTATTGGCCTAGAATTTGGGACCCTCCTGCCTCAGCCTCCCAGAGTACTGGGAAGATGGACAAGCACATCAGAGCAGGAGGGGCAGGGCAGAGGCTTCCATGCTGGCTGCACATACACTGCCCCTGGGCTCTGGGCTCTGGGCTGTGGGTTTTAAAATCCCATGCACACGTTTTCCTCTGCTGAGACCTGGCGCACTGGCTGAGGAAGATGTGGAAATAACTGTGGTCTGAGGCCCAGGGCCGCATCTGCCAGCCACCTTCTTGCTTGTGGAATCCTGAGGTGTCCAGGGCATCAGGAAGAGATGTCCTGGTCTCTCTCCTGCTTCTTAGCTGCCAGTGCTCAGTCATAGGGACCCTTAGCACACCAGGGAGCTTCAAGACTGTGAGGGCTGGCTCCAGCTGCAGTGGGTTTCTGCAAGTCCACACGTGTGGTATGAGAACCAGGGCCCCAGGGCCTTGCCTTTGAGGGCTTAGAGCCCACTCCTGGGGGCCAGTGGAGCAGAGTGGTGCCGTCCCCAGAGCCTCATGGAATTAGGGTCCTATATGAAAGGGTTTTGGCCAGACAGGACACTGTAGCCGGTAAAGCCAAGGAGCTCCTATCTCCCCCTCCCCTAGGAATCTACCTCTGGCACCAAACAAAGACTAATGGGCTACCTGTGCATCCCTAATGCCCCCCTTAGGTTCCACCCCAAACTGAGGCTACTTATGTGCCTCACTCCACGTGTTCCACAGAGAGATTGCCAACCCCGTGGTGGAGATGCCGCTCCCCAGGTGCTCGGGGGTGTCTCTCCCTGCATTCTCAAAATAAAGGTCATTTATATTTTATACTTCTTATCTTTTCAGTTGCCGCCAGTCCCCCACAGTTCTATCACTATGCTCTTGCCAGGCTTCTCCATGGCTAAGCTCCTGGCTGAAGGTGCTGTGGGAGACCGGGCCTGGCTGGAGGAGGCCACTGAACTCTTGCCCTGGCCCCTTCCTTCTCGCTCTGCTTCCTGGCCACCATGCTGCAAGCAGCTGTCCCCCTATAGGCCCTTTTGTGAACTGTTTCTGCCTCGGAGCAGCCTACCATGGACTGACCCCACAGGCACCGTGAGCCAGGAAGATTCCTACCCTTCAGGCCAGGCATGCAGATGTGATCACAGAGCAACTGAAGCCCCAGGCCCAGAGAAGAGTGGGGGCTTGCACTCGGGGACCCTGGGAGAGGGGTGGGAACTGATCCCAGGCACCTGGTTCCTACGGTGACTCGGCTGCCATAGCGATTCTTCCTCTGGATGCTACCACAGTGCCCCTGTCTCTGGGCTGCAGGCCGCTCCGGAGCCTGGAGCCACAGCAGTTTCAGCTCTAGGCCTCGGGTCCAAATTCCCCCCCAAATGCAGCATCCCCTCTCCCTCGTCCTTCCCTTCCTTTCCTCCTTTTTACTGTTTGGCAGGACTGCAGGTTACACCCAGAGATCCCCACTCAGAGCTCCACCCCAGGGTGTTTCACTTTGTATTATGAGACAGGGTCTCACTAAGCTGCTGGGTTGCCCAGGCTGGTCTGGAACCTGCCATCCTCCTGCCTCAACCTCCTGGAGTCCTGAGGTGACAGGTGCCCACTGCTGTGCCCAAGTCCCTTTGGTCTTATGGCAAAAGCTTGAGCCTGCCGCTGACCCCGTCTCCCCTTCTCCAACCCCTGGCCCTCACCAGCGTCCTCTTCTCTCGGCTTCTGGGAGTTCCATGCATTTGTGTTTGAGACCAGGTCCTGCTGGCCGCTTGGGGGGGGGCCTCAATCCCTCAAGTCTCCTGACGCATTGGTAAACTTGGTTTTTATTCTTTCTGTGACCACAAATGCACGGGAATTGGGGTTTCCCCTTTGGTTTTGGCTGATTTCCACCTGACAAACTGGAAAATAAACCTAGAGGGTTTACTCTATGTGATCAGTTCTTCAGAGAAGTTTGTTTGCAAAAGGTTTTCCTGCCTGGACCAGTGCGGTGGCACATGCCTGCCATCCCAGCACTCTGGGAGGCTGAGGCAGGAGGGTCAGAGGTTCCAGCCCAGCTCTGGGGAACTTAGAGACTAGGGGAGACGCTGCCATCTCAGAATATTTAAAGAGGGCTGAACTCAGCAGTGAGCCCAAGGCCCTGGCTCTCAGCCCTAGCATAGGAAAAAAAGCATTCGACAAAGTGGAGACTTACCGGGAAGCCGCGAGGTAGCCCAGCACATGGGCCACCAGCAACTGGCCATGTGTCAGCTCCAGGCGGGCACAGAGCTGGTGTGTGGCCTCCTCAGCGGTGGCAGCCAAGGGCCAAGGCACGGAGAAGGAGGCCCAGCTGTGGGCCTCGTGGAAAGCCAGCCACAGGCGCCCTGGGTGTCCGCACTCCGGCAAGCTAGCCCACAGCATGTCGTGCTGGGCTGGGCTCAGCGTGCGTCCAGCCTCAGCCAGCAGCCGTTGCACCATCTTTTGGCCCTGGTCCACTGGGAGTGGCCCCACCTCCCAGCAGGCATCCTGGTCCCCAAGAGCGGCTCGCTGAGCGTCTAGAGCGCCGTGCCACCCTGAGCAGGCAGACAGGATGAGGTGCACCCGTGGAGGGCAGACGACAGGCAGCCAGGGGATGGCTCGGGCGGGGTGTCCAGGGTCCAGGTCATCTACAGCATCCAGCAGGATGACCAACGACTCGAAGTTCCTGCGGCTCACGGTGTGGAGCAGGACATGGAAGAAGTGAGCCAGCCTGGCATGGGCCTGCAGCACCTGGCTAGGTGGAGTGGGCAGCCCAAAGGCCAGGCACAGCTGTAGGCACAGGCCAGCCAGGAGCCCACGGGTATCTGAGCTGCCCTGCGAGGTCCCCAACAGCCGCAGCACCGTCACTGTCTTGCGGCCCAGCAGCCCAGCCGCCTGCTCCGCCAGCTTACAGAGCACTGTGGTCTTCCCAACACCTGGGGTGCCGCCAAGCACCAGGGGCCCATGGGAGTGGCCATCATCCTGCCGCAACCGCTGGCCCAGCCGCACCAAGAGCTCCTGGCGGCCGATGAAGGTCCTAGTGGCCTGGGCACCCTGCCACAGGTGGTGGCGGATGTCCTCGAAGAGCCTAGCAGGGCCAGGTGGGTTGGGTGGCAGCTCCCGCAGGCGCTGCAGGAGCTGGAGCGAGGCGCCCTTCACAAACTGCTCCCCCAGCTCATGCAGGTAGCATGCATGGGCCTTGTTCTTGGGGTTCACCAGGTCGCGAGCCCATGGCAGGCGGAGCACCCTGAGAGCCCCAGGCCTCTCCTGGGTCATGCGCTGCTTGAGGCCACTCAGCACGTCCTGGGCGGCCACATCCACGCAGCCATCGGGCAGCCGGTCCACCACAGCCAGGGCACAGTCCTGCAGTAGGTGCCTGTCGAGCTCAGGGATCTCTCGCAGAAATGCCATAGCCCCCGGGGCACCGCTAAGCAGGCCAAGCTCTAGCTCCCACTGCAGCCCTGCAGAAAGGACGTGACCGTAGTGGCCAGGCTGGTGCCGGGCACCATGGGGTGGGGTTTCTCCGTACAGGGGGAACCTGTGCCTCTGCACCAGGCCTCTGCTGCAGCCACATCTTGATTTTTTTACTTTGAGCCTTGTCTCACTAAACAGGCTGGGCTCAAGTTTCAGATATTCCCATCTCAGCCTCCCAGAATGTCGGGAGGATAGATGTGCACTTCCAAGCTTGGCTATACCCCCCCCCCCAGGTTTTGATCTGGAGCTCATGGGAGGGGCTGTGAGTCTACGTTACCACCCCCCTATTAAATGATGCCCCTGCTGCTGGTCCAGGGAACACACTGAGTAGCAATGATCTAAACTTTCAGATCTGGGTTTTGTTTCCGTGGAAGCTAGGGCCTCAGGCATGCCAGGCAAGGTCTCTAACACTGAGCTTTTAATTAGATTTTTTGTTTTGAGACAGGGTCTCACTAAATTGCTAAATGGGAGCTTGGCACAGTGGCACACACTGTCCTCCCAGGACTTGGGAGGCTGAGGCAGGATCACTGTGAGTTCCAGGCCAGCCTGGGCTACACAGTAAAACCTTGTGTCAAAACAAACAAAAAACAAAGATGGGGGGAAGGGACCAGGAAGGCGGGGAGCCTAAGGGTGACAAGTGTCCTGGAACATGTGAGCAGATGCTAGGTCTTGTGAGGTCCCACCTGCAGCCTGCAACCAAAGTCCCAGTACATCCACCAACTGGTAGGCAGAAGTGTGCAGAGTTAGTCTCTTGCTCTTGGCAAAGGTTCTGTTCATACATATTCCTCATATTGGTAAATAAAGCAGAATAGCCCAGTGCCACAGGAGGCTGAGACAGGAGGATCCTGCGTTTGAGTCCAACTTGGGCCACTTAGTGACTTAGAGACCCTGTCTCAAAATAAAACTAAAAATAGGTAGGGATAGGGCTCAGCAGAAAGATCCAGAGTCCAATCTCCAATCATGCAGAACAAGAATCTATCAAGTCTTAAAAGTAAATCAATATATTTGATGTTGATAGTCTTGAATACATTGGATATGTTGGTAATAGAAAATTTCATATTTAATATTTCCATATGGTCTTCCCTTGTCCACGGATTTAGCTGCCTGAGGCCAATGGTGGCCTGAAAATACAGAATTGTGGAAATGACCAGCTTGTCAGGTTTGTTTTTCTTTTTGTTTTTGAGACAGAGTCTCACTATGTAGCCCAAACTGGCCTTGAACTCATGGTGATCCTCCTGTCTCAGCCTCCTGGGCACTAGGATTATAGGAGTGCACCACCACATCTGGTTTAACTCCTAAATTTTATTATTATTATTTATTTATTTTATTTTTGTCTTTTTCCTTTTTATTGGTACCGGGGATTGAACTCACGACTGCCTGCTTGCAAGACAGGCGCTTATGCCGCTGAGCTAAATCCCCAGCCCCTGACTCCTAAATTTTAATGTGCAAGTCACTCTAGCCCAGACTGGCTACTGGCTGCATAGTCACTACACATCTTCCGGGCACCACAGCACACACTCGGGGTACACAATGCTTGTGTTAAGTCACCCCAAAGCACCCACTGCCCCTCAGCACACCGGTCTGATTGTTAATTCTTTCTCCAGTCCTGGGGACTGGACCCTGGGGCTCTCTTCTCTCACTGCTCTTTAGCCTTTTCTGTTTATGTGGAGGCCAGGTCTCGTTAAGTCTTTCCATGGCCAGGGCTGCACTCGGACTTAGGATCCTCCTGCCTCCCCTGCCCCACACACGGGCTGTGTCTTCTGGACCTAGGACGCGGGTGCACATCCCCGAGAGGGTCCCTGCTCACCTGAGTGGTGGTAGCGCTGCCACTGCTCCTGGCTGATGAGGCCCAGCCTCTGGGCCTCCTGCGCTGCGGTGCGCAGAGCTGAGGTCAGGGTGGGCTCATCGGGCCCCGTGGCCTCCTCATTGCCCACTGCCTGCAGCACGTAGCTGGGGGGGACCGAGTTCTCGTCGCGCCGGAAGCAACGGATCAGCAGCTCCAGGTCTCGGGGCCTGGTGCTCAGCTGGGCCCGCAGTACCTCCCACTCCTTCTCCTCGATGCGCCGGGGCACAGGGCACGGGCCGTACTGGTCACCAACGAGTGCCTGGGGACACAGTGGAGGGTGTGGCTGGCTGAAGGGCTGCATGCCAGGGCCCCTCAGGGCCGTGGGCCAGGGATGATGGTTACACCAGGGAGGCCACATCTGTTATCCTCAGCTCAGCCCCATCCCCTTCACTTTTTCTGTCTCTTCTTCAAAAATCCTGCACGACCCCCAGCACTCAGACCCAGAGAGCCTGAGAAATTGCACCCCCTATCCATCTTCTGTTCCAGTAACGCGGCGGGCTCAGCCCGAAGGGAGATACCCCCAGATGTGTTGTTTAGACCTGGGACATGCTCAACAGCAAGCTGGCAACTGCCCCTGGCAGCTCAGCCTGCAGAGAGCTGATTCTGCCTACACCCTGTACCTCATTTTGCTCATCACCCAGCCCCAAAGCCCTACTCAGAGACCCAAATGCTTACCGCCTCAGCAATGCCCCAGCTCCTGCCTAAACCCCCGTAAAACTCTCATCCCTGGCTTGGGGCCAGCAGTCTTTCCGCCCTTGGCCTGGCCGTACCCGGTCTGCAATAAAGTCCTTGCACATTGCTTAAACTCTGCCTGTCTCAGTGGTCTCAGCTGTGCCTCAGTTTACCCTAAGACCTGGATTCAATCCCTGGTACCAAAAAGAAAGAAAAGAAAAAAGAAGGGCTGGGGATTTAGCTCAGCGGCATAAGCGCCTGTCTTGTAAGCAGGCAGTCGTGAGTTCGATCCCCGGTACTGATAAAAAAAAAAAAGAAAAAGAAAAAAGAAAAAAGAGGCTAGGGATATAGTCCAGTGACACAGTACTTGCCTGGCAAACACAAGGTCATGAGTTCAATTCCTAGTACCAAAAAAACAAAACCAACCAACCAAAGAAACAAACCAAAACCAAATTTAAAAAAAAAAAAGAACAAAAAAAAAAAAATACAAGCAGAGATAGGCTCTTGCATGTGCTAGAATCCAAGGTGTTGGACAATTGGCAGATAAGTTGGGCTTTGTTTTGTGTCACCTTGTTTTTGAGGTAGAGCCTTGCCAGGCTCCCCAGGCAGGCCTCCAACTCCTGGGCTCAAGGCATCCTCCTGCCTCAGCCTCCCAGGCAGCTGGGAGTATAGCCAGGCACTGCTGTGCCTGTTCTGGACAGGGGAGCTTTCATTACCATCAAGGGTTCAGAGTCCCAAACATTTCCATTCTCTTCCTGGATCCCTCCCGAGGCAGCTCAGGAATCAGCCCAAGGATGTCGTGAAGACATGAGATGGGGTCACCAGCACCAACCCGAGCAGGCACAGCTCAGGTGGAAAGCCCCACTCACTCTTATTTTATGTCACATGACCCCCTCACTGGCTCCTGGACCCGCAGCTCACTTCCTGGCTCTTCCCCCATGCCAATGTGCCAGGTTTGTGCTTCAGCTTCCCGTTTGACACCCCCTGTACCCCAGAGTCACCAGACTCCCCCTACCCCATCACATACCTATGGCTCTGAGCCAGGGGCTTAGCTCAGTGGCACAGCACCTGCTTGGCAAGCCTGAGGTCCTGAGTTCAATTCCCAGTACCAAACAATAAATAAATACATTTTTGAAAACCCCAAAGCAGCAAAGGGCAGGGCCTGACTGTCTCTGTCACCGGCAGGGAGCCTGGCCAGGACCACCGGCCTGACACGAGGCTGTCCCCTGTGTGGCCTCGGTGGTTCTGCCTGCCTTAGCAAGGTGGGCAGTGGCAGGGAGCAGGCAGGGCAGGCTTCTCTGGTGCCCACCAGGTGGGACAGCCTTATCCAACAATAGTTCTGCAGTGGGGTGTGCGGTGCATGCCTGTTATCCTGGCACTTGGGAGGCTGAGGCAGGAGGGTTGGTAGTTTGAGCTAACTGGGTGACTTAGTGAGACTCTGTCTCAAAAGAAACATGGAAAAGAGGTTGGGACTGCAGCTCTGCGCAGTGGCCCTGGGTTCAATCTCTGGTGCTAGAAAAACACAATGGAGAGAGAGAGAGAGAGAGAGAGAGAGAGAGAGAGAGAGAGAGAGAGAGAAACTTTGGCTGGCACAGGCCTGCAATCCCAGAATTTGCATGGCTCAGGCAGGAGGATCCTGAGGGTTCCTGAGCATGGAATATAGGGCAAGACCTTGTCACAAAAGACAAAACTCCAGAGCAAAAAGCAAAGCAAAACAAGGAAGAGAAGAAGAAATAGCCTGCCGGGAGCAGCCAGAGCTGAGACTGGAACCGCTCTGAGCCCGGCTGTGAGGGGCCCTGGGACCAGGACGGGGCCTTGGGGAGCCCCCCGCAGAAGCCCAGTCCCACGGGCGCTGACTTATTTACCAGTGTCTTGTCCCCATGGCCCAGGGCCCCAAAGCTCCAGTTTCCATGGAAAATTCCCAGACCCGCCAGGGGAGGAGCGGGCGTGGCCCAGCAGGTGCTGGAGGCAGGGAGCTTGGCAGGGCAGCAGCGGGCACTGCAAGGCCCCTGTGCCCAGGCCGGCTCTGTCCCCTGTGAACGGGAGTTGTGCTGTACTTTTCCTGCCTGATCCTAGCCCCAGCCCTTTTTACTTTCTATTTCCAGACAAGGTCTCGCTCAGTTATCCAGGCCAGGCTGAAACTTGAGATCCTCCTGCCTCAGCCTCCCAGAGTGCTGGGAGGACAGCCATATCTGCCCCAGGCAGGCCAAGGGACAGGGAGCCAAGCAGAGACACCACCCCACCCTCTACCCCTCAGTCCTTCCCACTCTCTACTCCTGCCTCTGCTGCTGGACTGGGGTGCAGGTGGGCCACACTCTGCTGACGGAGAGAGGGTTGAGGCCTCACCCCCCATACACACTCACAACAAAGGCTGGGCCCAAGGACGTCCTCTGACAGCGCTCCAGCTCCTCTAGGCAGAGGTCGACGGTCAGCTGTTCAGCAGCCTCTGAGTTCCGCAGGCCCCAACGCAGATCTACTGCCTGGGGACGAAGGGGTGTGTGTGTGGGGTGACTTGAGGAGGCTGCTTTTTTCAGTGCCCTTGGACCCAAGCACTGTTTCCTTCCGCAGCTTTGGGCAGCCTCTCTTTTATGTGAATTACAAGGATTTAAACAAGTTGGGGTTGGGGGCCCATGCCTGTGCTCCCAGCACTCAGGAGGCTGAGGCAGGAAGATTGCTGTGCGTTTGAGGCCAGCCTGGGCCACTCTACCTCAAACAACAAAAAAAAAAAAAAGAAAAAATTCACAGCTGAAGACCTCTGAGAGAAACAAGGTGGCATCGTTATGGTGACCTTCAGTGAGTGGGTCATGTTCCCTGTCCCCGTATCCCCTGCAAGGGAGGGGGTGCTGAGGGGCCACACTCCAGCAACCCCATATCTGCAGCTGTACGTGGCTGTGAGGGCACTGGACAGAGAGGCCGAGGGGGCACAGGGCACCGGGAAGTCCCTGCCAGCCCAGCTTCCTTAGCGCAGTGAGGACAGAAATTCCAACTTAGGCCAAGAAGAGGTTGATGGGCTATGCCGTCATTCCAGCTATTCAGAAAGCTGAGGCAGGAAGATTGCACATTCTGACCAGCCTGGGTGGCCTGGTGAGATACTGTCCCATTAGAAAAGAATAAAAAGCAGTGGGGGGGAGCTTTGGGGGCTCCCTGGGGCCCTCTCGGTACTGTGGGAGTGAACGGGCCTGGAAAACAGTGCTCACCTCGAAGGGAAGGCCATGCTTCTGGCAGATGGTCAGCAGCTCTGGGCAGGCGGTGCCCAGTAGGGCCTCCCTCTCCGCGTCCATATCTGCAGGGCTCAGGCAAGTGAGTGGTAGAAATGGAACCCCAACCGGGGCTGCTCTGGCCGATCTGCCAGCTGTCAGTGCCCACCAAGGCTCGGGCCAGAAGGGACACGCAGGAGGCTGCCAGCCTCGACCTCTGAAAGCCACATCACCTACCCTGAGCGTGGCTGTCAGACAGAACAGGGGATGCGCTGGCTCGGGTTGGAGGGGTCCTGGGCGCCGACCCCAGCACCACAAAGGAAGGATGGAGGGGAGGGGAAGGCGAGCCCTCCACCAGCCTAGCCAAGGTGGCACATGCCTATAATCCAAGCTACTGAGGAGGCTGAGGCAGGAGGGTGGCAAATTCCAAGGGAGCCTGGGCAACCTAGTGAGAGCCAGTCTCAAGATTTTAAAAGGATTTGGGTGTGGCTCAGGGGTGAGGTTGAGGCCCTGAATTTTGGGCCCAGCACTGCCAAAGGAAAGACAGAGAGACAGAGAGACAGAGAGACAGAGATAGAGACAAAGAGAGACAGAGATAGAGTCAAAAAGAGACAGAGGCAAAGAGAGGCATAGACAGAGACAGGGGAGAGATAGAAACAGAGACAGAGACAGTGAAAAACAGAGATACAGGGAAAAACAGAGAAAGACAGAGATGGAGACGGACGCAGGGGAAGCAGACACCTGCTTGGCTGAGTCCAGTTCTATGCGCTCGTGGGGGACCCAGTGGGTCTGGCAGGTGCTGGCCCTAGCCCCGTCCCCATGCCCCTGCAGCCAGACCCCCCCAGCTGTGCTGTCTCACCCTCATACCCTCCTGGTTCAGCCCCCCAACAAGCTCACCCGAGGTGGCAGAGCTGATGTAGACGGCCACCCCTCTGGGGACGGGTGCAGGCAGTGGCCCTGCCAGGCCGTGGAGCAGTCGCCAGCGGGTACCCGGACTGAGGGGACCTCCGCCACTCATGCTGCTGCCCTCCTGGGGATGGCCGAGCCCAAGCTCAGGCCCACGGTGGGGCAGCCATGGGTCAGGGACCCGCAGGTCCTGAAGTGTTACTGCTCTTCCCACAACTGCCGAGGCTCCTGCCTTGAAAGTCAGTGCTCAGTGTCGCCACAGCAACTCTGTTTCCCAAGAGGCCAGGGGCTGCCAGGCTCAGGGCACCGGTCCCCAGAGTCTGTGTAATTGAGCTGGTGGGTGGCCACAGAGCAGCGGGGAGGTAGTGGCACCTGCTGGGGCACCCGAGGGGTCCTGCACCCTGCCCATCAGCTGCCAGAGCTGTCCCCTGTCCCTGCACACCCATGGTGAGGGAGATGTTAGGTGCTGTCACCCACAAGGATGCCCTGGGCACTTGGGGTTCAAGGGCCAGGGCTGGTGCAGAGTACCCTCAATGCACAGCACACCCACTCAGGGAATGATCTGTCCCCAAACCCCAAAATGATCTGTCACCAGGGTAGAAACAGGGTAGGCTGCCCTGCCCCAGCTTAGCCCCATGACCTGCAGGATGCAGATGCCTGGGAGCCCATGCAGAGGGGCAGTTCACTCACCAAACCAGGCTCTTGAAAGTCACCATATCCACGCATCATGCTGGGCACAGTGGTGCACACCTGTCATACCAGCACTCAGAGGTTGAGGCAGGAGGATCCCTGAGTTTGAGGCTAGACTTTGTCCTTCCTCATCTTTCTGCCTCACCCATGCTGTGCTGGCCACGCCCCTTGGGCACTGCTTCTTGTGTCCATGGGAGGACTGCTGACTGTGACGCGTACCCTACTTGCTCTGCATTCCTAGCCCACACTCCATCGGTCTCCACAGGACATAGGCTGGTCAATTTTTGGGGTTGGGGGTCTACCTTGTTCTGGCCCCTGGCTGTACTCACCAGGTGTCACTAGATGTCAGTAATATCCCTCTCTGACCATCACCAGCATTTCCAGACTCCCTGCTTAGCAATCCTCCACCCTGCACATCCAGCTCATTGCAGCCCCAGGACCTTTGCACATGCAAGCTCAAACTCTACACTTTGCACCCTCTTACGTCATTCACATTTCAGATTCTGTGCCACTCAAGAGGTGCTGCCTGTCTGTCCTGAGGCTCAGTTTCCCCACCATCCCAGGGCTGCCAGTGCCCACTCACCTGTCCAGTGCTTACCACTGCTACCTTCCCCTCGTAGGCTTTTTGTCTCCTGCCCAGGAGCAGCAGTCTTGTGGATGCTGTGGTCAGAGTGCTCAGGGCCCCAAAGGTGCCCAGGAAGCACCTGTCCCCTCTGTGGGCTGATAGAGAGGTGCCAAGCACCAAGTGGCCTGGGCATCCTGAACGACAGAGGCCTTGTGTGGTGTAGCCTCTGGCTTCCCGGGGACTCCAGGCCCCAGAAACATGGGCTGCTGGTCAATCTAGAACCTTTTGGGAAACAGGTCTGCTACCCAGAAGGCCAGCTTGGAAACTGCTGTCCGTGGTACCTTCCAGGTCTGTGCTGGCAGCCTCCCTGGTAAATGGGTAACAAAGAAGACCCTGGCTTGGCAAGCTTGCAGTCAGGCTGCAGGTTAACCATTGTGTGCCTGGCCCCACGGAGCTTTGGAGCAAGCCAGCCAGGAAGGCTGGGCTGACTGCCCCAGCTAGGGGTGAGGAAATCGCCACCCACTTGTCACTATGTGCCTGGGCTGGGTCCCCAGGGTCCTGTGGGCTGTGATTGGTTCATCAGCATCTGCCCCTGAACCCTCCCCACCAATGTATCTGGACATCTGCCAATAGAGGGCCGCATGCCTGGAACACAGCACTTGGGAGGCTGAGGCAGGAGGATCGCTGCAAGCTCAGGGGCAGCCTGGACTCCACAGCCAGACTTTGTCTCAAAAAAGCAAGAACAAAACAAAATAAAAACCCATCCTGGGGGCTGGGGATTTAGCTCAGCGGCATAAGCACCTGCCTTGCAATCAGGCAGTTGTGAGTTCGATCCCTGGTACCGATAAAAAGGAAAAAGACAAAAAAAAAAAAAAAAAAAAAAACATCCTGACAGTGCCAATGATCCTGGGAAAGGGTGGCTTCCATCCCCTCCTCACCCATAACAGTGGTAGTGACCCCAAGGCACTGAGCTTGTGTCACTGTGCTGGCTGCCCTGCTCCTCCCAGGACCCAGGGATGCGAGGCTCCAGGAGTCGGGCAGAGCCAAGGGTCACCCAGAACCAGCAGAGGGTTCCTCAAAGGCTTTGTAGCCGCCGGGGTGGAAATCAGATTTCTCTGGGTCTGGATCCCGGTTTTGGGAAACGCAGAAAGGAGAGGTCATCGGTGCCAAGCACACGCAGGCTTCTCTTTTCGTCCTTGTCACCTAAGTAGGCAGTACAGCACTGTGTCCGTGGAAGGAGCGAGAAATACAGTGCACGATGGCACTTCAAAGATGATGTTTCGGTAATGCCAGGTCGTCATAAACCTCCTAACCCAGCCCCTTTGCCGGGACCCTTCCCGCAGGGCCCCGTCGCGCGGCCTGATGCAGACCCTCGAAAGGGGATCCCGGAGCATCCCGGACGGCGCGAGGAGGGAGGGTCTCGCAGGGTCCACGCAGACGAGGCCCTGGTCATAGAAGAGGACCGCGCCGCGCGAGACTCGGTGCCTTGTGGCCTTGGGGGCCCAGATCCCAAACCCAGGGCGCAGAGCCTTTGCTCCATAAGCGACAAGAAGACAGTGGGCGAGGGTGGGAGGGTGGCGGGACGCCCGGCCCTGTGGCGCCACCCCCGCATCTGGGAGTCCTGCAGTCCAGAGCATGACGTCCACTTTCTTTCTTTCTCTCTCTCTCTCTCTCTCTCTCTCTCTCTCTCTCTCTTTTTTTTTTTTTTTTTGAGACAGGATCTTATTACATAGCCCAGGCTGGCCTCGAACGCGCAGCGATCCTCCTGCCTCAGCCTCCCGAGTGCGGAATGACAGGCGCACAGCTAGAACACCCGGTTTCTTTCGGAGAAGCCCAGAGCTGCACGGTCCGGAGTCATCCTGCAGCCTTGGGCTCAGGCCTTTCCTTCCTCCCAGCGATTCCGGCTGCTCTGAAGCACGGGGGAACCGCGCCCTCTGCCAGCCAGTTCTGGAACTGCATCAACGCGACCGCCCCTGACAGTTGCGATACGCTGGATGGGGCCCTCGGGCGGGGCGGGGCTCGGGCGGGGCGGGGTTTGGGTGAGTATGGTCCTCATGCAGGGTCCGGTCCTCTGATGGGGGAGGATCCTAGGGAGTCCTCGGGAGGAGAGAGGCGGGGCTCGGCAGGGCGGGGCGGTGCGGTGCCCGGCAACCTTTAAACCAACCTGGCCCTGAAGATTAACAGTGTTTTCTATCTTTAAGCCATGGCAGAAGAACAGGTAACATTCTCCCACGTCGTGTTCTTGAAAATGCAGATGAACGCAGGGGCTCAGCGCAGAGCATAGGCTGCATCCCTATGCCACCCCACTGCCCCGGACAGACAGGACCCTGTCATGGGCCTGCAGTTACAGCGCCCTAAAGGCTAGCCTGCCCTGCAGGATGGACCCTCTTCAGTAACGTTTTGATGTTTTTATGGGTTTGTTGCATCCGCTTTAATTCTTACAATTATTACTAGCAAAGTGTTTTTGTTCCTATCATAACTGCCATGAGTGCCATCTCTGGCTAACGCAGGAATACAGCGGGAGGCTGAGGCAGGAAGATTGCCGCGAGTTCGCGACCATCCTGAGCTACACAGTGATTCCAGGGCAAGTCTCAACTACATGTGGAACAAAACAAAAACTAAGCAAAGAAAGCAGAAAAGAAACATCTACAGTTTTTATTGGGCCTTTAAGAGAAGGGCCTTAGGGGGCTGGAGGTTTAGCTCAGCGGCATAAGTGCCTGCCTTGCAAGCAGTCAGTCGTGAGTTCGATCCCCAGCCTGAGCCATGGGCTGGAGATACTAGCTCCCTGGCTCCTCCCCTTGGCTCTCTGCTTCCACCTACTCTGTGTCACCCTGGTAACATCAGACCAGCAGCCTGGTGACATGGACTGAAGCCTCAGAAACTGTGATCCAAACGAAGCTTTGCTCCTTTGAGTACTCTGTCCCAAGGGCATGGTCATGGTGACAGGACCAAGGAGGGTGTCTGGGTCTTGGTGGCCCTAAAGTACGCATGGGACCCACTAGGCTTCAACAAGGGTTTGTTGATTGAATTTGTGCTGACTCCCATGCTGCAGTGTTTGGGTCACCTGTATTTCTCTGCTCAGTCCTACTCTGCCTGTGGGGTAGTATTTGGAGATGATCAATGGTGCCATTCCCATGTAGGGTTATAAACTTTTTGTTTTTTGAGATAGGGTTTTGCTATGCAGTTCAGGTTGGCTTTGAACTCATGGTGATTCTTCTGCTTCAGCCTCCTGACAACTGGAATTAGAGGTGTGCACCACCACATGGGGCTAAGACTATGGCTTTTGTAAAAGAGGAAGTAACAGGATCTTTCCCCTTCTCTGCCCTCTCCAGATGCCATCTCTGCCTGATGCTGCCCCTGACCTTGATCTCAGACTTCCTGGGCTCCAGGGCTGGAAGCATAAATGTTTGTGAGCTACATAGGCTTCGGTAATTGATATAGAAGCCTGTGTTAGAGTTCTCCAGAAAACAAGACAAAAATAATGAGATGGACAGTGATAGGTATGAGAATCATAAGAGGGGATCAGTTCATGGGCTGTGTGCCAATAAAACTTTATTGACAAATATAAGTGGAGAGCCAGATTTTTTTTCTTTTCTTGCTCTGCACTGCTGAGGATGAAAATCCATGGCTGCTACTGAGCTACATCCCAGCTGTG